GCTGATAATGGAGTACGTTATAGCATATGGATATCTATTATCATGGATGAACAGTGCTATTTCGAAGGAATTTTCTGAAGATATTGGAGCAGCAACTTTGCTTCATATCTCTAGACAGGGGATTTGATCGATAAATTATATTTGATCATGGAGGATATGTTTGGGATATCTATCCTAGGTTTTCATGGATAATTGGAAGTATTTACTTCGCTTTTCAGATTTTTGTCTGTCATATTGTTGGCACAAGGAGGTTAGTGTGACAACGTTTGAGATTTTGTATATTATATCGTACAGCCCTCTCACTTGTTGGTTTCAAATGGAAGCAAGGGTTGTACAATCCGACCTTGACTTCATTTAAGGATACGTCGGAGAGAAATCCTCTCCTTTGTAATGGTTTGCACGCAGTTTGGAGGCGGCAACAGATTTACGTAAATAGTCGAACTCGTATACTAGAGTTTTCTATCAGGAAGTAGTTTACTTGTGATGTCTTCCATATAGGAAGCAAGATGATTTTTGGATGGACGTCAATTTTACTTATTAAATTAACTTTTCGAGGATTGTGTTTATCCACTGAGGCGGTACCCTATAGATTAGCGTTACTAAAACGTTAGCGTTGGGTGCATAGAAGTTTTGCGAATCTATGCTATGGAACTTAGAGGAATATGGATCCGTATCCTTGAATAAATATTGGGTAAGGATGAGTTGTTGTTAAATACAACCTATTTGTAGTACGGTTATTGTTTTTCTTCAATATAGGAATCATGTATACTGTTTGATACATAGGAGTTAAGTGAAGCCATCATAATGAGGTTGAATCTACTTAGGAACAGGAGGATGTCATTCGCTCAGAGTTTCCAGAAATAATGGAAGAAAGTAAGGGCGAATCCCGAGAACGGAATTCCTTTTGTTAGGGGGGAAGAATATAATACCCCTAATTTTAAAAGGATAGTCTCGGTATTTATTTAATTGTTTTAATTGCATTTTTATTTGATTAATTGATTATTTGGCTACTTGTTATATGTTTAATTGACTTAGTTGTTTAATTTAAATTGTGTGTGCTTAAATGGATTATTTGAATTAAATTGTTATCTGGGTGCCCTGGTAGGTTTAAGTATTCATGCCCACTTTATGTCCAATTTGCATGTTGCCTTCTATTCAGGTTGAGACAGACCTATAGTCCAGTGAGCGTCCTATAATGTATATCTATATATATATATATATACGGATTATAAGTTATTGCTGAATTGACTAGGATGTATACGTATATCAGATCTCTGCTTAGACTGTAGTAGAGTATAACTTATTTGTGGGCGTGACCCACTATTATTTTTCAGGTGTTCGTCAGGAGTAGGGATTGTTCGTGCTGAGCAGGGATCATTTACTTCATTCTTCCGGTTTATCTACATAGGAGTTTCTTTTATGATTCAGTATCTAGTTGTAGACAGTTGTTTACTATTGATTATTGGTTTGAGATTTTCTAAGGGTCCACACAGAATGGAATCCCAAGTTGTATTATTAGAGAATTAATTGTATCAGAATAATTTATTATTTAATGAAATTTTATTTTGAGGTTTCAATTAATGGATTATCATTTTAGTTTTCATTCAGAAATTTATTTATTCTTATTTATCTATTTTGTACTCTGTGTTCGATTATTACCGCTTTGTTTTTTATATCCTCGGGTATTCGGGCATGGGTTTGGCCAACCCGCATCTGGAAATCCGGGGATATCACACCAGTCTCTTCATGCATATAAACATTAACATTTTTGACAATACCTTTTTATATTTGCAAGTGAAAGAAAGTCAATCTGGTGTGCTACGAGTAAGGGTGCTCAAAAAATGATGTCCTCTGCTGATAAGTGCTGAGGCTTCCGCCTTATAAATTACCTTTGGTGATTGATTCTTCTATTTCTTTGAAATCCCAGGCATCATCTGTTGAATATCGCCCTGAAAATGAGAAAATACCATTTAGTTTATGCCCAGAAAGCGGAATACTTTAAAGAAAAGACGAAGAATAGTTATATGCTGCATTTTTATGATAAACGCATCATCTACAATTTTATATATTATTTCACCCTAAGTAAACCTTCGTTAACAAAACCAAACAATTGTGAAACTACAAAAAATCAGAATTCCCACATAACAACCAGCAAACAAGCCAGCAGAGTTCAACTCTATAGATCAGATCAGCAGGGAAAGACATTATGAAAATAAGATATCTTCAATGTAGAACACATAAAAGATGTCTATAGGTGGCTAAAATAAGCAGAATATTATTGCCGGTACTTGATGTCATGATCATTCCCGAGCTAGTTTCACATCAAGGAACATGGAGTCATGATATTTCCCCATGCCATGGCAGTAGTGTGTTCTCCCCTTTCGAAGTGGAATTGTACAACTTAAATTAAGATTTTACTGATCAAGAAGATATTATGCCCACTACAATATCCGAAACATTTAAATAAAGCATCTAATACAGCTTCTAGTAAAATTAGCATCTCTTGTTCAACATTTCTGTCAGACGTGTTTAGAAAACAAAGATGACAACATAAACATTATAGCATTTTTGTTGTGTATACTAAGAGTCAGCTCATTGTGGAGGGGTCTGTGTAGTGTAAATAACATTTAGAATTACTCTTTGGATTTCTTTAAAATAGGTGTTGATCTATTTTACTTTGATTTTACATACTAATAAGCAAACAAATGATATTTATTTAAACTAGATTAGAGCAAAGAACAAGTATGCATAAACAATTGGCCACATGAAGGCTTAACTTAAAATGCAAAGACTCGGAACTTCAAAATGGCGGTTCTAACAAATCATCATATGTCTATCAGTACGTTCAGGGGTTCAAGAAAGGGCACAAACATACATATCTCCACGTCTTTCTCCTATAAACTAAAAAAAAAAATATGCTCATTTTGCTAATTTCTTGATAAATAACTCACATACACATTAATTGTGACCCTGTGAAGATTTGAACCCTCAACATTCTACTTTAAAAGATGAGGAGATATCAATGGACTACACCCTTGGTGGTCATTCAGCAGGTTTCATTGCCTACAAATCATGTTGATCAATGGAACGTCGGGATGCATGAAAGTGCCTCCGTTGTACACTTTTATCCGAACTGCTCAACACCCTCAATGTTATAGTAGCTCGGACATCAGAATAGATGATTATATATAATCTTAAAAGAAAAATCGGTGCCTAAGCATATAATTCTTTGAAGTACTAAGCTAGCTACGCATAGTAACACTAACTATAAGCCAAAAGAGACATATATTGTATTAAAAAGACTACATCAGACACTACAACTCAGTTCGCGGAAAATTGCATCTCTTATTATAATACCAGAGGTTCTCTATCCTTACAGAATTAATGACGCCCAAATTTTAATATGTTGAGATTGATTCATCCTACTATAATAATGTAGTACTTCCTAAGAAAGATGCATTGGATTGGGATTTGAGGGACTTGTATGAAAAAAAGAAAACTGAACCATCATTGAAGAGTATATATAACAATGAATACAGAACCCAAAACGAACACATATCTGTTTGGGAATTGTCAAATCTACATAGATTAAAAAACACATAAAAGGCATGAACCAAAAATTTAATGCTGAAATCATTGGATAGTTTACAGGGTACAGGAATGCTTACCTTCTAGGTTTGGTTGAGAGTGTTTGGAACATCCAATTCTTCAAGAAGACCAATAATAATAATCTTAATTTTCGGAACAATTGAGTAAAATGATTGCCCATGTTCAGTCATACAAAAGCCCTTTAGGAGTTGATTCGAAGTCGTGCTAGAATTGCTTCTAGTAGGTAAATCTCTCTACGACAAGAAGTCTCTACTAATCTCTCTCTATATAATCTACATGTATATATATATTTGCTTTTTTAAAATCGAACATCTAAAAAAATCGTCTCAATCATCTTTATTCGCTAAATCTCTCTCTTGAACAACTGTTTATTTTACTTTTCCTACCGAACTAAATAGTACTATATATTTAGATGTCCTGCAATTGTAATTGTCTAATGTCTATTATAGACATGTGGTTTTTATTTTTATTGTTTTTTGTTTTATTTTTGTGGGGTAAAATGTGAGACACAGTTGTTTTTGCTTTAAGAGACGGATGGATGGTCTGTCTGTTAATATGTTTATTTTAAATTCTCTCTACATTGATTTAATAAATTAATTGTGGAACTTTGTTGGTTTCAATATATTTACTTTATCAACGTTTTGTGTCTGTTGGAGCCAATAATAATTTGCAGGTTCATATATCATTTTCTCTCTATTTTTTGTTTGTTGCCATTTTGTTCTCCAAATTTTTGCTATTTTAATATAATATATGTATTAAAAAAGAAATTTATTATAGATTTGTTCTCTTGGTTTTCTTCGTTTGAATGATTTTTTTTTTTTTTTTTTTCAAAAACTATTGTGATGCTCTGTTACTTGTTTTAGCAGATGGCTGTATTTGAAATCTAAAATTTGTAAATTATGTATAGGTGTTGGAGAAAAGTGAAGTTGATAGAAAAGATTAAATATCTTTTTTCTTTTTCTTTTTTCCCTGGTATGTTCATATTAATTTGAGCAAAGTCCCAATTATGTTTAATGTTCCAAACATTTTTGTGTGTAAATAGTTATCAGTTTGTTATATACATAGAACAATTTGCATGGAAGATGGATTGACATATCATTTATAAAAAAATAAAAGATTGACATAAGATTGTTCTGTCACCCAACTTTTGTCTTTCCGAATAAGAAATTCTCTTTAAATTCAAGTGACAAAACAAGTTTGAGCACATTAAAATTCAATTAAGCTCAATTCACTTAAATCTCTATAAATAAATGAATTCATGGGATCTTTTTTAAGACCAGTGAACAAGTTAAGGAGCAAGTGTTTAACATAGAAGTCAAACTTCTTCAGGTGGGAACAATGCAGTTCTAAGAGTTTTAATTGCTGGGATTTCAGTTTCATGGGTTCTAAGTATGGTAGGAGAGGAGGTGATGGCTGCACCACCTGGTGATTTTCCGGCCATTTACAACTTCGGTGACTCAAATTCAGACACTGGCGGCATTGCAGCAGCTTTTTACCAAATCCAGGCCCCATCTGGTCAGACATTCTTCGGTAAACCTGTTGGAAGAGCTAGTGATGGCCGCCTTACCATAGATTTCATTGGTAAATAACTAAACTTCAATTTAGAGTACAATAGCTCTGTATTAGTACCTTGAAAAGAAATGCTCTCTCCACACATGCGCGCATGTGAAAAATAAGCATCTAAAAGTCTTCTATAACATCACAATGACATCATTCTCACTCACATAAATGCAATCGGATATGTCCATTAGGAAGCTATATCACGACTCTATATGTATTTTACATTATAATTATTTTGCAGCTGAGCATCTGAAGTTGCCTCACTTGAGCGCATATTTGAATTCAATTGGAGCCAACTTCAGCCATGGTACAAACTTTGCGACAGGAGGCGCAACCATTAAGAGGAACAATGAATCATGGTTCGAAAATACTGTAAGTCCATTCCCTCTTGATATTCAGACCGCGCAATTTCAACAGTTCAAATCACGTACAACTGATCTCTACAATCAAGGTGATTAATCCCAAAAGTCATTCAAAATTAACCAAAAATACATCCCTAGATTTTACACTACCATACATAAAAGATGTGTGTGATGATCCTCTGCAGCAAAAGAGCCATCCCAGAGAAGCAATCTCCCGAGACCCGAGGACTTCTCCAAGGCTCTTTACACTTTTGATATTGGCCAAAATGATATTTCTGCTTGTTTTCGGAAGAGTATGAATGAGGACCAAAGCCGAGCAACCATACCGGACACCATTGACAAGTTTGCAGCAGCAGTTCAAGTACTATTATATGAGTTCTATTTTTTTTTTTTTTTTTTTTTGTAATGAAATTAATGTGTTCAATGCTGAAATGGATTGTATTTGGCAGACACTATATCACGAAGGGGCAAGGGTGTTTTGGATACATAACACAGGCCCCATTGGTTGTTTGCCAGTAGCCACTGCAAGTGTTAAAAATCCGAAGCCAGGCGATCTTGACGAGCATGGATGTGTCAAGAGTCAGAATGACATAGCCATTGAGTTCAATAGGCAGCTCAAGGATAGAGTGATCAAACTAAGGACAGAGCTCCCTGAAGCAGCAATTACATATGTGGATGTTTACGCAGCAAAGTATGGATTAATCATCAATGCAAAGAACCAAGGTAATTATAATCTTCACGAATGTCATATAAATTCATATAGAAAAGCAAACCCCGTGCACGAGGCTATCACCATTGCTGGGGTTTGGAAAGGATTAGACATAGGCAGCCTAAATAGCATAGTTCACCTAGATACAAATCTTTACTAATATTTGCACAAAGTGACTACTCTAAAACCTGGAACCGCATTTTTTTGTTTACAATTAAAGCTTTTACCAGTAGATGATCAAGCAGTAGTTCAACATTATTTAGGGGTGTGAAATTAATGATGATTCTAGGAAATTTATGGTGATAGATTCAACAGGATTTGATGACCCTTTCAAGAGCTGCTGTGGGATTCATGAGAATGGCCTCAGTATCCGGTGTGGGAATAAAGGGATGAGAAATGGTATGGAAGTCTTCGGTGGTCCTTGTGCAAAGCCTTCTACAGCTATCAGTTGGGATGGTGTACACTATTCTGAGGCTGCAAATAATTGGGTTGCTAATCAAATAATAAACGGTTCCCTGTCAAACCCACAAGTTCCAATTACCCAAGCATCCCGCAAGGCCCCGTAAAAGTGATCTCATTATATTACTTATATATTTCTTTTAATATATTAATTAAAATTTTGTGTATTGAATTAATTACAAATAAATACAACTACTGTTCTATTGATCAATACAGGTTTTTTTTTTTTTACCTAAAAGTTTACTGACTCTCTTACACGTTAATTGCCTGCACAATTGAATCAACATCCACCTACAATTATGTATCCGGGGATATGAATCTCACCTCAACCATGTACTTACACGAATCTTCTTCACGTGCCCGTTCTGGAGTACTATGCAATACACAAACACTTTGAGGTACACTATGTCTGTTCTGATCATATAGTTATAGAGAGATATGAGCAGTCATTTCTCATATAGTGTTGCAATTCTTTTGTCTCCCCTGAAGGAGAGGGGTAGAGAAGAATTGGCAATGTTTCAAGATCACATGGCTGCTGCAGAGAAAGCCTAATTGGAGATCCACCTAATCCACAGCAAGTTAGGAGGACAGACAATCACAAGGGCCGAAACTTTATACAAATTCAATTTTCTTAGGATTTAACTATAACAGTGGTAGCTTCAGACATAAATTAAAATCAGCTAATGTTACGATTCTAGTTGAGAGAACTCACAATGAAAGTGCTCTTATTATAGCTTTTCTATTATGAGAGAGGGAGGGAGAGATTTTTTTTTTTTTTTGGGGGGGGGGGGGGGGGGGGGGGGGGGTAGCTTTTCTATTATGAAAGAGAGAGAAAGAGAGAGAGAGTTTTTTTTTTGGGGGTGTGGAGGGGGGGGAGTCTAAGCCTCCCGGCTGAGGGCGAATATATATATATATATATATATATATATTGATAGGCGAGCAAAAAATTTCAGATACGAGCACCAGCCTCTAAAAGCATTAACATTTTTGACAAATACAAGTAATTGCAATTGAAAGAAAGTCAATATAGTGTGCCACGAGTAAGGGTGCTAAAAAAATTGTGTTCCTCAACTGATCAGTACTAAGGCTTCTTAATTATAAATAACCTTTGGGGATTGATTCTTCTAGTTCTTTGAAATCCCAGGCATCATCCGCTGAATATTCCCCTAAAAATGAGAAAATACCATTAAGTTTATACCAAGAAAGTGGAAATACTTAAAGAAGAAGAAGAAGAAGAAGAATTAAATGTTGCATTTTTATGATAAACACATCATTGATATTAATGTTGCTACAATTTTTTCAATGATTATAGATTATCAATTTGAACCATATCTAATCAGTTCCTCACGTTTTGTCTCCAAAAGCATCCTATCTAGTTCAAATTCTGATGTCCATCCCTTCATACCACATAAGTCCCCATCTCACCACCGTAGAGGGCATATCCTAACATTACATAAAGGAAAATGGAAAAACTCCACTTTAACATCTTCATTTCATCAAAGTCGTTCTTTGCAAAGGCAATGAAGATGATCCAACAAGGCTTCCATACACTTAATAACAAAAAGGTCAAATTATAAAGTGGGCTCAGGAGGGTTTGGAATTCACAAAGCCAATATATGCTTTGTTTGATTGAACTACATTGATACACAAACCCTCCTATTTTTACTTTCCTTTTGGGTTTTCTTTTTAATTGATTTGCATATGCATCTGTGAGGAATAGCATCAAAACATATAATAGATTTGAAAGCAGGGTTAATATTGGGAACCCAAACCAGCGTTGGATTTCGATGAGCTTAACCAATTCTACGAACATGTCTAACAATTTCCAGACATTTATTTTAGGCAATGCCAGGCAAAAATATGAAGGTCAAACAATTAATTGGAACAATTCTTTAATTGGAAAAAGTGGCCTTACCAATTGAATCTCTTCGCAGTGCTGTTAAATGAGCACAGCTGCAAGTGAAATATTCAAGTTAGAACTATTTCTACATAAAAGAAATGATTGCACAATTCTCAGTTGGACCTTACTGGGCAAAAACAAAATAAAAAATACATTAAAAAAATCAGTTGTAGATTTTTATTGTTTTTATCTTCTCTTCAGGAAAAGCGCAGATTTTAGACACAACGGGGTATAGGAGGAACCAAAACTCTACTGTATAGCTGGTTTTTGTATTTAGACAAAATTTTGTTCATTTATTTCATCACAACAAGGTAAATGGGAAATTGTTGCTACCACCATGATACAAGGGAAAAAAAAAAAGTTGTCTCTTACTCTGACATGCTCAAACAGCTTTCTATTTGAAATTTTTTCCCGAAAACAGAAGCCAAACACAAAGCCAATCATTTGTTGTTTAAGAAGCACTACCAGTTTGTAAGAAATAGAGATAAAATGCCAGAACATACAAAAAGTTACAAAAAAAAGGAAGAAGATGATAATAAACTTAAAGTCGTTAGTAACATGGCACATGAAAATTAATGAAGTAAAAAAACGACAAATGAGGGTGACTTCATATACACTACCTGCCCAGAGCCTTCCCCAAATCTGCACACAGGGATCGAATGTATGTACCTTTTGAGCAAATCACCCGGAAAATCAAATTTTGTCTGCAAACACAAAAAAGATTGAAAGGAAAAAAAAAAAGGATTTAAAATAATAATAATAAGAATAAATATATAAAACACAGAACAGCTACACTACTATAAGAACAAGCCTAGCATTTTTCTCTCTTAGGAGCACCATCAAGGAATCCATTACATTCATTTGTTATATAAAAAACCAATTCTACCTGGCTAAGGTATGAGCCCCTAACCTATAACACTGTTTGTGTATGGTACCCTTCAGTACATCATTGGGCCACAAGGCACATGGATATTGGTCAAGTTCACCTTATTGATATAATCCTTCATATATTCATCCAATGGCTTTTCATAATGCATAAGCCACACAAAAATGCATTGCATTAAGGTGTACCATACAATTGCTATTTGGGAAAACGTGCTATAACAGAAAAGTTTCAACATAAGGAATGGTATTCAAATATTTAGCTAATTATGGGCAACCTGTCATCTAAACTGCGCTCGATATCAAACTGGAAAATTGAAATCCGTCTTGGTGAAAGTTCAATGCTTTCTCCTCTTCTTGCTTTCTCATACATCTTTTCGCCCCCAACCTATGAAAAGTAAAAGAACCCACAAGCAATTAAATTAATAATAAATGCTCTTTCAATAGCATGCATTTGTCAAGGATAATGTTGGAGATTTTGAAGTGAATGATCATCATATCTTCACAAGCAATGATCTTAAACTCATCTGGAGAGCATGATACTAGTACATGCTTAAACTAACAATGTTTACGTTGCTGGGGAAAATGAAGCATCTATGTGAAGTGCATGCTTAAACTGAGTACGTCACTTGTTTGAAACATCAACATGATAATAGAAAATATCCCAGTGAACATAGCAAATTAACAATCTTTACCTTTTTTTCCTAAGTCAAACCCTCCCACCAAGTATGTATTTTCTATGAATGGGATAAATTTATATTTTATCTCCATACCCAGAATATGGTGTGTCCAACACTAGTACCTTACAAATTTTTGTGTCCATGTAACATAATGTCAGACGGAGATAACTGGGCTATATGAAACATAGCTTACACAACCATTGTTATTTGTCACAGACATCAAAATATTATAGAACTTACCATCCGGTCTTTTTTGTTCTGATTTACTATATAACATGAGCAAATTCTTGAAAATTTAGTTTATAAGACAACATATACGTGAAAAGTGAAGGATATAATTGAAAATTTCCTAATACTTTAGAAACCAACACAGAATTTGTTTGACGGGCTGATTATGTTCTGCAATCCAAAGAAATAAGGATGGAAATTAAATCGATTGTCAGTATTTCACTCTGTATTTATATATCCAAAATTAATGCCTTTATTACCGTATTAAATGGCACAATCCTTTCAGGTGTACGTTAGAACATATTTTGAATGGTTTTTGTCCATGAAAAGAGACTATCAGCACATCATTTCTGCAATAAGGTCATGACAAATATAATGACAAGTCTTACCTTGATGGCAGAGAACATTGGAGGAACTTGCCATATCTCCCCACAAAAAGTTGCAGCAGTTTTCTTTATGTCCTCATCTTTTATGTGTTCCCATGACTCACGTTGGATAACCTAGACAAGAAGAAGTATAATTAAAATTTCACTATGCACTGGCATAAATTAAACAAGAGCTCCTCTATGAAGAATACCATCCCACTAGAAAATGTCGATGAAGCTTACATCAACAAAAATTGAAACAAACACGGGAGATGGGGATGAGCGAGTCTTATTGTCACTTACTCCATGTACACACAGTAAAACCTTGTGATTGGAGTAAATAACATGCAGCAAATACACTTCTACTTTGAAATCATGTAAGATTGTTTAAACCATCAACACCCATGTCACAGGCTTTTTTTGTTGAAATCAACATGTTGTAACCTTGTCAAGCGTAGACAATCATGCTAGAGACCATGTTATGTAATACCAACATATTTAATTAATAATTTGAGACCTCGGTGACAGGTATTTTTTGGTTTACTAGTTCTTCTCTTGACAGTTTTAATCAGTTGAAAAGCATCTATCCGGCCACATGGCTTATTTACAACTGAATATATATGCTAATTTATATACTCATGGCTTTATTTGTGAGGTTCATTTTTGTAGTTATATATCCCAACATTTGTTCTACTTCTCCAGGAAGAGGATGTAAAATTAACGATTTCACCTTTTGCCTTCTTTGAATACCCAAATTACAGATCTATATTAGTCATAAGTAGTATGCAGTTTTCAGTAAGAGTATCACTTTGATAATCTTGAATTCAATGAATGATGCAAACTGTTTTATTTCTTAGAATGTCTATGGCCATCTAATTTCATGCCATGAAATAAACAAAAGTAAAATAGAATAGGTGAATTTGTAAAAGACTTGATCCCAACTAGTTAAGTTGAAAAAGAAAATAGGGCACAGTTCAAAATGGGCTTTCTACAAGACATATAGGGCAGAGAGATTAACAGACAATAACAAGCATGATGCACTCACTAATCCACAATTTTTTTTTTCAGAATTAGGAAGAAAAATTATATGCACATCAGAATATAAATGGAAAAAGAAACAGTGGTTTTTCATCTCGAAAGAAATAGCACACCGGTGAATCAGCATCCCAAGTGGAGGTAGCCTCTCCTAAGCGGAAGACACCACTATAACCCTTAATCATACCTTGATATCTGCAATACATTTTTTGCAAAAGGTGCATTTGTGTGTAAATTTTCTGGAGAAAGATTCAGCTTTACTTGTGAAAAAAAAATTAAAAAATTAAAAAAATTAAAAAATAACTTCAAAGTAATTCAACTGTAGGACGGATTAAATCCAAGTCTTACGTTTCCACTAGCTTAGTAGCTTTACCAACACATACAATCAATAAACCGGTTGCCATAGGATCAAGAGTTCCAGCATGCCCCACCTGTAGCAGATATTTAAGTGAGAATATCGAGTACATGAAAAGAAATATGGCGTGCCTACTGCCTGCCATCCAACCATTCGGGTTCAAAAGAAAAACAAGCACCTTTTTCACTTTGACAAGACGACGCAGCTTCCCACAGACTGTAAACGATGTCCATCCTGTGCAACAAGTTATACTGTAACCTTTTTTAATGCATAGAAAAAATAAAAGAAAAAAAAATGGTTTTACTTTTAACTAGATCTATATTGATAACAATAGACATATTTGTTGCATTTCCAAAGCTGTGCTAGGAGCTTTTTTTCACTCTCTGTCTTTTCTTTCATTTTTTTCTTTTTTTGGTGACCCTTATACTTATTTAATAAAAACCCACTCCGTATCACCATAGTTAGAAAAAGATTGTACATGAAATACTTTGTTCTGTGTATCCAAGTGGGATTATATTTGTATTACAGTACATCAATTCTCACAACAAACCTACATACTATGCCTTATAACATTAACTCGCTGACAAAGAAGAAGGTCTAAATTCATGTTCTTTTCTTCAAAATTAGTCCATTGATCAAAGACCTAAGTTACGAATACAAAAATCAACGAAATTCATGTATAAAACACCAGTAAATATATAAAATTCAAACAACAGAACAAGTTTAAGACTCAAATCACCTTTGGGTTTGTTCACCAGAACCACTGTTCCGCTCGGGGTATCCCATTTTGGAGGAAGCCCAGCACTCCTCGATGAAACAAACGGCTCCACATTAGCAACTTCAGCATTCTTATTGGGAACTTTCTTCAAACACTTAAAGAACTCCACCACCTTCTTCTCCGAAACGTCCATTTTCACCTCCTTTGTGGCTCCCATTTCCCTTTCATCCTCAAAGAAAACCAACCCTTTCTCATTCTCTCGATCCAACACCTTATCCTTCTTGTCTCCACTCCTAACCACTCCCCTTTTCACGTTATTCGCACTTGAATTTGCATTAGCATTCGATTCACCGGGTCCAAGAAACGCCTTATCGAAACACTGATCAGGAAAATACTTCTTCTCCAATTGATACACCATCTTATAATGCTTATCTTTCTCCCATGGATACGTAAACGTATCATAAAAATACAATTCCTCTTCTTTCTTATGCAATGTACGAAGCTCAACCACTTCCGGCTTCAACTCAACATACTTCTCGTCATCGCGACGGTTATCGTCGGAATCTGAGCCATACATTCTCTTCCTCCTCTTATTGTAATACTTTCTCTTAGATTTATCCATCTCGAAATTATCCAACATGGGTTGGCTATATTCGGTTTCCGAATTGGGTGATGTTAGCTTTCGATCGACCCAATCATCAAACCCCAATTCTGAATCGGGTTCTGACTCGGGAGAATCGATGGGTTTGGAGTGAGAGACTTGTTGGGGTGGACGGCGAGTTTGGGGGAGAGAGGACTGAGTTGGGCGAGAGATGATCATGTCGTACTGAAGTGGATATGGGGTGGAAGTGGTAGAGAAGGGTTGAGAAGAAGAGAGCTTCATCGAGTGTTTGAGATTTGAGTGTCGGAAGAGAGTGAATGTGAATGTGGTTCTCCATGAGACTGTGGGCATGGGACGAAGGAACATGAGAGAGTTTTTGGTTAGATATATTCCTATCGATTTCACCATTGATTGATCGGTTTTGTGTTTAAGGGTTTCTGATTCGGTGTCTTATAATTGGCTTGGTGGTGTGAACTGTGTGTGATTCTGCGAAAATTAAAGAATTGTGTTTTCTTGATGTGTTAGAACTTAGAAGGGAGCTCTACTGAACTAGGTCCATTCCAAAGGTTGAGATATATATATATATATATATATATATATATATATATATTCGGAAAGTCATTTGTATTTTATTATGAACATATTGTTTGGCGTAAAATTAATTAGCTGTGAAATATTGCTGTCTTACCTCTTGATTTTTGGGTTCATGTGCTGAAAGAGTGGAACTTGGATTAATTTGTCTGAAATTGCATAGATCAAAAAGTGAAACTGAAAAATAATGACACAAACATGTCTATCTTTTTAAACAATGACACAAACACGTCTGCCTATATAAAATTAACCTTACAAAAAAATAAATAAAATAAAAATCTATGTAATTAAATTGTAAAACTCGACTGTATAAAATGAATCAGGACTAAATCTAATCAATTCAATGGAAGCTTACCAAAGGGGGATGCGAGAGATGATCGGTGTGAGTGTGTTTTTTTGTGAATGTGAAAATAAATAAAACAAATTCAATGGAAGCTTGATAAAATCCAGCCAGAAACATTAATTAATTTGGAAAATTTCTGAGATGCCAATTGGATGTATTTGGCTCTAAAAACAAAATCACTTTGAAGAAATATGTTATTTAACTCAACTTTCAAACAATAACATAGAAAAAGAATTGTCAAACAAACCAACAATTTTTAAACAGATTTTTGAACTGTTTTAAACTTATTTAAGACAAATATTAAAAATAATAAAAACTAAATCAAAGACGCCTTTAATTTTTTTTTTTTTTAATATTAAATTTAAAAACAGCGCACGCTCATCATCCATCTCATCCCAGAATTTGGAATTCTACTTTTTTGAAATTTTGGAATTTGTATTTGTTATTAGTGTTTTTCCCGCTCAGGTTGCCATGGCAGATTGGGGAGAAGAAGACTGTGAGTTCGTCAACGATGATGGGTTCGTTTACAAGCGCAAGAAGCGCCGCCTTGACCCCACCACCTCCGCTCCACCGCCACCAGATCCAGTGGCGGAGGAAAGGAAACAGAAGGAACGGAGGAAGAGGGCATTGATGAAGCTGAGAGAGAAGTACCGGAGAGAGATGGACCACTGGGAACATTTATCAAACACGTTAAAGTCTATGCAAGAAAAAGCCCAAAACCAACTTCTTCAGCGACAGCAGATGATAACATTGTCCCGTTCGGTCATTGATTCGCCTCCCCCGCCAGCGCCGTTGTCGGAGTCTGCCTTCCGGCAAGACGCCGCCGACCTCCTCTTGCGGGTAATGCTTACATTCTTTATATTTTTCCTTTTCCTTTTCCTTCTTAAAGTGTTTGATTGCTGAAGAACTAAGCAAAGTATCAGAAACCAAATTTTGCTCTACGAAATGAATCTGTTTCGGCTAAGCTGAGTATGTATCTGGCTTGATTGGGTAAGGGATATTTTTCAGGGTACCTAGTATTCTTAGAAAGTAAAAAGATTTCGACTTCAATTTATTTTCTTACACTTTCTGATCTGCCAAACGGGGCTAATTGCCCAAGCAGTACAATAACCAACTGTGATATTTGAATGGAATGGATTTATTTTCAAGGAATTTTGACCTTGTTAAAAGTGGAAAAACCTAAAAAGGGCTGTTATATGTATATACTCTGCAGGTAGAAGCAGAGGAAGCAATCATCCAGGATGTTTCTAACCTTTGCTATATGGTCGAAGCCATTTGCAATGCACAAGAGAAGGAGCGGATGAAGCAATCATTAGCTGATCTTTCAGTTTGGGCATCACCAATTGAGCTCATGGCATCTCTGTGTGAGTGTTTGGAGTAGAGGATTTCGATTCTGCTCTTTCATTGATACCAATGTAGTTCCAACTCTTAATTGTTACCCACAACAATGCCAATGCACAAAGAAGATGCTATCTATTCTGTGGTAATTTGTTAGGTAACCGAGTCTCATCTTTATTTGATTTGCTTCGCGGTAAATCTAAGAATGCATGCCTTACATGATGATATAGTGTAGCATCTTGTTCTTTCTAGATTCTGTTTCTTCAGTCTCTAAATATTGTCAATTTGGACACTTTTTAAGTTTCCTGCCTAGATGAATAGAGCTTGATCCTTTCATATTAGGTCAAGCTTCATCTTATCAATATCTAAGTCCTTGCTTTGTGCCCTAATCTGAGCTCTAAGAGAACAAATGAAGGCCATCCATAGTGTAGATCTATTTTTATTTTATACCAAAAATGCTAAAAGTTATTAAAGAAGTCCAACTCTAATCATCCTTATAACAGCCATGTTTTCTCTATCTGCAAGTGTTACAGAGCCAACTTCATACTTTGACACTATCTGCTGCAATTTGTTCATTGATTCACGACAACTGAGAGAACCATTTAATAATTTCGTCAATGGTGAACTAAGTAATGAATCTAATGATTCAAATCCAATATTGTTGGATTGAACTTCATTAGAAAAAGCACTATGTGCTGAGCAGGACCGAGTTTCTCTTCCTCACAATAAACCAAGGAAAAATATTATTACATGCTTTTATGGACCTACACAAAAAAGATGTACTAGAAATCTTATCATTGACTACCGAAAAATAAGAACACCATATCAAAGGTTCCAAAGAAGAGGTTGAGAAAAAGAGAGAGGATGGACAAAATAAGAGACACCCTAACTCATTAATGTGCCTATTTTGGTGATAGGGTTTTGAGATCAACCTCATTTAAACAAGACGGGGTATTTTTAATTGGTTGAATGGCAAAACCAGCTTCCTTACATGCCTCCTCCAGAAGCTTTACTTGTGAAGGCCCATTGGGGCAGAATGCAACAACAGCACCTCCACTACCTGTAAATTTTGATGCAGCCCCGACCCGCCGGGCCACCTCCACCATCTCTATGTTCATATCACCAAGGACATCCTCTCCAAACATGACTCTGAAGGTTCAAACACTAAAGTTCATTAGTATATATGACTTTCATACACACACACACACATATATATATAAGATCTTATTACAATAAAAGCGCTGTTTTTACAATGTAATAAGATACAAGATTTCACAGCTGCGCCAATGCTAATGATGGAATGCAATCAATCTCTAATCAATGGATGACATGAACTGAACAAGACAAAAGCTACTTCAAGGAGATCAAAATTAATTTAATTATTACAATAACAGTAAAATAAGAGATTGTTATTTTCATTTTATAATTACAAAAATTGCATCTTAACACAATATCCCATTTTTAAAGGTACGGTGACAGCTAAAGTTGGAGAGTGGATTGGAATTCCACAATCCAGACATACATTTTTGTAAATAACACTGCAACATCAGATTTTGTGTGTATATGAAAGGATTTAGTGAGAAAATAACTTATGTTAGAGTTTATAGAAGTCTCCCTCAAATATAATAATATGTCAAATGCATTGCTTCTTTTACCTTCGTAAGTCGAAATTACGGTTCATCAGGCTTGCAAGTTTTGCATAGTCCTTCTCAAGCAATGCCGTTTGTCCTTGTAATGCTATATTTGCAACTTCTTCCATTGATGTTACTATAAGTTTATCCCCATTGAGCCACCTCTGCCGAACTGTACTGTGTACCTACATAGATGAAATATAAATGTTATTTATTTCAGATTTGGTTTACATGCTATTACAATTAATGTGGAGGGGGAAAACATCATTGCAGACATCATTTACAGCATGTTGGTATTGTGCTCAAAACTTCCGTATAGATGCATCACATGCATTAATACAGGTAAAATAGACCTGATCTAAAGATGCTAGCTTTGACATACAATGAATTTGACCTCTCAGATTCTTAAGTTCATAGAACTTAACATATCTGTCTCGTTAAAGATACCCAAATGAAAGAATCATTAATAGGAAGTCTAAAATAGGAGGGTTCACAATTTACGGAGAGCAAGCAAGATAAGAAAAATAATAAAATGGGTTCCACAAAGGAGATTCTTTGGGTTAAAATGATAAAATCGTTGATTTGAATAATTGAACCACTGCACCATATCCTTTATTATCATTTTTTCAGGTTAGGTTTTGATATCCAATTCAGTCCCAAATGACCTGAACCAATACCAGAATAAAGAAAGTTTTCATATAGGATATATTAAAGTAGGCTAAAATTTCAAATTTGTATATTTATACTAGCAAAATTTACCAAAAAAATTACAGCCTTCTTCAGTGTCGGAAAATATTCTATATCCCCAAAATACAAGAAATGCAGCTTATGTTAACATCTTGCACAAACATTCTTCAGTGTGTGTCCAGGAAACATTGTGCATTCACAAACACTGAGTATGAGGATTAGAAATTGGTAGAACTCCATAAAGCAGAATGAACTTTGTATAGGAGACCATGACAAAAAAGGAAGACAAAAAAGGAAAAAGACTAAAATCAACAAAGCCTTTTCCCAACTGCTTGAGGTTGCTTACTTTGAATCATATTTTTTTTTTTTTTTTTTTTTTTTTTATTCTGCTCCATCTTAAGGTCATAACCTCAGTCAAATATATTTTTAAAATTAATTAAAATATATATATATATGATGCTTGAAAATTTTAACAAGCCACCATACTATGCGTACCTTCCCAGAATCACTTGGATTCTCAGCATAGATGAGATGTAGGGGTGGGAGAAGACTAATATCCATGGGTGTATATATTCCATGGCCGAAGTCATCCATGTATTTCTTGCTAAAATCCTATAAAAGGAAAGTTAGGAAGGACGCAGAGATAAATTATCCAAAAAAGTTAACATATGGATAAAGTTTAATTTATACCCACATGATGTCTCTGTAGAAAATTCAGTAACATACCATGTATACAAGACCACCGTAGACCTGTGCTACCCTGTCCTGGAGACCAGCAACAATTCCAAGTTCCTTCTCTGCGTTAAGGATAAGAGTGGGCCTGACCTCTACTTTAACCAAATGCCTAACTTTGTAAAAGTCAAGAAGGCAGCTGAGGGCAGCACATACAATAGCGCTGGAACCAGAAAGCCCTGTCTGAGACACAAAAAGATAATAATTTAAGCCAAACTTTTGAGTATCAGTTGGACAATTATGGTGAAGAACTGCAGGTCAAGACAGATTACAGGTGCAATGCTTACTAATGTCAATACTCAATAATATTTTACCCATTTGAGGTGTTATGAGAAAGTCAAATCAAGACTGGGAAAAAATTCATTACAAAAGAAATTCAATAAATATGCTAACTTAGCAATACATGCGAGCCAAAACACCAAGACACAAAAGGAATAAGGGGCATAATGTAAAGCAGTGTTTGCTGAGACTATTCATATGTTAAGAGTTGAGACTCCGGAGAAGACCAATGGAGGTTCCAATGTGAAGCAGCATTTTAGGTTTTTCTGGTATTTCCCTTCTTTGTTAGCAATGGACAAGAATATTTCCCTTACATTCATACCCTATCTCCTTTTTATTACAAGAATGACCTTTATGAGAGAAAAATGAGTAAGTAATACTAGGAGAAAATGTTGAAAAGAACACTTATAGAGGAAGGGAGGGGTTCAAGCCCCAGCGTGGGCAAAGTGTGTGTGAGAACTTACCTGGTAAAAATAAATAAAAAAATAAAAATACTTATAGAACTATCAGATTTGAAATCTCATGGTAAAATAAAAATAATAAAAATGAATAAATAAATAAAATCTTATGTAAAACAAGTGGTGTAAGGATTCAAGCTGCAGAACCACGGGTTTGGGAAATGCTGACTGCAGTTTTTGAACATGAAAAGGTGTAACCAAACTGATAGGAATCTCAAACACACATACACTCCTAACTCCATCCTGAGCCTTTTCTTCCACCTCTCCTCTCCAATCCTCGAACATACTTGGTTCCCCAACCGCTATGAAATATGGGGAGAAGACCGAAGTTAAAACTAGATACTTGAAAATGAATTTTTAAACATGTACTGCTATAATATAAGATTCAAATTCATGTAAATTGACCATCGGAAAAAGTATAATAGTGGAAAGGTAAACATTGCTGCAATGATAATTAAATCAATGCACAAATGTGATGTGATTTGAAAAGAAAGAGAATATGAAAGTTAAGAAGCGTTACCACTTATTCATATTCTTGGTTTAGAATAAATAATTACAAAAAAGTCTTGTCACGAGTGACTGAACAATCTTTCCTTAGGCTTCTTAAGTGTGATTCCTGCAAGTTTGGTTCTGGTAGGAAGAAAATAGAGTAACAGAAAAACCATGCACATTCTATTTTGTATTTTGTAGTGAGTTTTTCATCTAAGAGTATAAACACTATATTTCTCAATGAAAAAATCACAACCAACCATCTAAATGTATAAGGAACAATCATGATGAAATTGAACAATATACTAGGAATTATTTTACACAACTAAGACAGCAAGTATCAAATAAGGGGATGTTAATGTTGCTGCTATTTACATTATTGGTGAAAGCTCTACCTGGCGAGGGATATTAGTATCATATGATAGAGTGAAATTTCCTTCATGAAGGTCGATCTTGTTATCGTCGCAATATCTATGGAAAACTTTACAAATTGCCATAAGCAAACGCACACCTCCATAGTAACCTTCATTTTGCAACCGGTTCACCTGTAAGATACAAGTATGAGAAGACTTTATTCTCCATGATCTTAGATTTGCAGGGGAAATCATCAAATTAATTATTGGAAGAGGAACCAAATATCAGCAGCGCAAGAAAAAGGGTGAAACTAACCGTTGCAGAACAAAATCAATCAGATCAGTAACAAAAACTAATCAAAATGCATAAATTTAAGGCAAGTCGTATTGAATTCAAAATCAACTAAAAAGCATCAAATTTAAAGACCTAGAAACTGTGTGTAAATGTAGCTACATTGTAGGAGTCCAGAATATATGCGCATTACTATAATTATACCTAACAAAATTAAATCAATCGCAAAATAATTAAAGAATAATCCAATATCTCTTAGATATCATAAATCAGATCTATTTCTTCACAACAGAACCCAAATGGCAGATCAAAAAGGTCAACAAGACAAATTTATATATATCGACATATATATAGATATAGGGAGAGAATTTAGACCAGGTGATCGAGAGAGTTGAAGTGGACGAGATCGTGAGTGGGGTGAGGGACGATGACGAGTTCATGAGAGGGCTGCAATCGTACGGAGGCCGAGAAGTTACCGAGTGTGAAGGAAATGGTGCGACCGTAATAGACATCGCTAGGGTTTCCAAGAAGTCCGACCCTAGCATAAGCCCTGTGTTCGATCACCGACGAAGATGAAGATCCATTCTCTGGTTTGTGATCCATGGTCGTCTCCGCCTTGTGTTTCTTCTTCCTCTCAGACACCTCATTGCCTTCCATCATTTATACCTGTTACTATATTTATAAATTCACAGTTGTCTGATAGTTACTGTTAGATAAGAAGAGACAAAAACAGTCTCTTAAAATGGGTTTATCGCGTTTATTATGGATAACTATCAGCCAACGCAATGCTGATTGTGATGGAAAGAAAGAAACGGAAAGTGGTGAGAGAGTTTACACGTTATTATTTTTTTTTACTCAGTATTTTACTAAAAAAAAAATTCTTATTTTCTAAAAAAAAAAAAAAATTGACAGAAAGAAGTATGGTGATTTGGACCACTATTTCTTTTTATGTTGATTTTGTAACTTCTCAAGATTTTAAAATTTAAAAATTTGTCAATTCAAATAGTTAGCGTGTATTATTTATTAGCTGTTATTATCTATTACCTGTTAGTATTAGTTGTTAATGTATTAGCTGTCAATTTAATTGTATGGTTGACTTACCTTGAATAGGTCTGTGTATTGTGTATAAATATCTCAAGTGTATAAATATCCTTGGGATATATGAAAGAGAAATATATTTTCAGCCCTTTATTAATTTAGTATCAGAGCAAAAAGAAAGGAATTTTTACTATTTTCTTTTCTTTTCTTTTTTAACCTTATTTCTAAAGACCTGCAACAGCCTTCAGTTATCTTCTTTTGTGATGCTGCTTGTCTTCAATACCTCTTAGCCACGATCCATGGCAGCTAAAACAACCACTAATTCTTCCCTCTAACCGAGATTTTATCTGACAGCAATAAGTCCTCCACGATGACTATTCACGAAACTTCTTCTCCCATTCCTATTAAATTGGATGGTGTTAATTATCGTGTTTTGTCTCAGATTTTGGAGATGCATATTATTGGTAGACAGAAAAAGGGGTATATCACAGGGAGAAAGGTTACACCTGCGGAGGATGATCCAAGCTATGATGAATGGGAGGCTGAAGATGCCCTAGTCAAGTCTTGGTTTATCAATGTCGTGACAGTTAACCTGATATCCCACTTTGTGCAGTGTGGAGCAGCCAAAGAGGTTTGGGATGCGGTAAAGAAAAGCTATATTGATGTCTCTGATTCTTCTTAGGTTTATGAACTGATGAAGAAGTCTTTTCAATTGCGTCAGGATGGTCGGTCTCTTGTAGAGTACTACAATGAGCTGAACTCAATCTTCAAAGAACTTGATTATCGAAGACCAAATGATATAACGTGTGCAACTGATATTGAGAAACAGATGAAACGTATTTTTGAGGATTGGGTCTATATGTTTCTTGCAGGTTTGGATCACAATTTGGATCAAGTTAGTAGTCGTGTTCTAACTACCTCTCCTTTACCAAGCCTGGAATAAGCATATTCTCTAGTTCGTCGTGAAGCACAGAGACAGGTCACCATGGCAATAAAGGATCACTCAGAAGCCTCGGCTCTTGCTGTCCAAAAGAGTTCCCGACCAGCTCCTCCTTCTACCGACTCTACTTCTCGTCTCTGCACTCACTGTAATAGTACGAGACATACGGTTGATGTTTGCTGGAAGAAACATGGTTATCCGGAGTGGTTCAGGCTTAAACAAATTGAGTAGAAGAATAAGAAATTTGCTCAGGTTGCTATCACCGACAATTCTCCATCTTCTGCTCCTCATGTATCTCGAGTGTCTTCTCATGGAGGTAATTCTAGTTTGGCCTTTATTTATACTGCTTCTAACACTTGGGTTATTGATTGAGGGGGCACTGATCATATGACTAATAACTCTTCCATACTTAACTCTCTAATACCTTCACCAATTAAGTCTATTTAGGCTGCTAACAGGGCTCTTATGCCAATTACATGGGCTGGGAATGTCTCACTTTATCCTACATTCTCCATGTCTTGGTTTTACTTGCACATAATTTCTCTAACAGCCTTCTTTCCATTAGCAAAATTATCAAAAATCTTAATTGTTCTGTAACTTTTCATTTTACCCATTGTGTGTTTCAGGACAATCTTACGAAGATGATGATTGGCGTTGGTAAGAAGAGAGGAAATCTTTACTACTTGGAGAATGAAGGGAGTTAAAATCTGAACCTAGCCGTGGTTTTCAAGTAGAGAGAGAGTCTGACAGAGATAAGATATTTTTATGACATTGTCGTTTATGACATCCATTTTTCTCTTATTTAGAACGTTTATTTCCTAAGTTATTTTGCAATATTTCTGCTTCTAGTTTAGGGTGTGAACAATGCATTTATGCTAAAAACCATCGTGTTCCATTTAAAGTGAGTTTCAATAGAAGTCCTATTCTTTTTTCACGTGTTTACACAGATGTGTGGGGTCCTTCTTCTACTCATTCTGCTTCAGGCCATAAATATTTTATATCTTTTATTGATGACTGTACTAGAGTAAGTTGGGTTTATTTGCTAAAATCTAAATGTGATGTTATACATGTTATTCCTCAGTTTTACGAAATGATTGTCACACAATTTCATAATCAGGTTCAGGTTTTCCATTTTAACAACGGTCGTGAGTTTGTGAATTAGTCTCTTACTGATTTCTTCAAACAACATGGCATCCTCCACCAGACAACGTGCGCCAACATGCCACAACAAAAGGGCATAGCAAAGCATAAGAATCGTCATCTCTTAGAGGTGGCTCGTACCTTATGTTTTACTATGAATGTTCTTAAACGTTTCTGGGCTGAGACTGTTATGACTGTTGTTTTTCTTATCAACCGAATGCCTTCTCGTATAATTAAATATCAAACTCCATTGAGAATGCTATCCCGATTTCACTATATTCCTTCTACACTAAATCTTTGTCCTAAGGTTTTTAGTTGTGTGTGTTATATTCATATACATTATCTTCGTAGGGATAAGCTTGACCCTTGTGCTCTTAAGTGTGTCTTCCCTGGTTACTCTAGTTCATAAAAGGGCTATAAATGTTTTCATCCTCCTATGAGTAAATATTATGTGTCCATGGATGTTCAGTTTTGTGAAAGAGAGTCTTATTTTTCTGGGGATATATCTCTAATTCCTCTTCAGGGGGAGATTAGTAGTAAGGAAGAGGAACGGTTATGGCTGGAATAAAAGAGGTTGTGGATTTATGGTAAGGGGGAGGATTCAGCTGTTCTGAAAAAAGGAGAACCTTTAGATACTCTTGATCATGTGGATACTGAGTTCGATGAAAAAATAAGTGAAAAACCAGCCCACTTGTTCAAAGAAGTATATGTGAGAAGGAACAAGGATGCCACTGTCATGCCGCCTTCTTCTAACTCTAGTACTCCTTTTGATGATACTACCAAGCCATTGGATGAATCTTCTAGGATTAACTCTGAGGTACATGTTTCTTCTCCTTTAACTTCAACTTCAGATATTAATTTTAACCCTGTAACTTTTGTGGAAACTGTTGCCTTGAATCCACAAGTTGGTGATCAGGGTAGGAGGTATCCTTTTCGTGATCGTAAAGAACCTGATAAGTTGGGTTTCTCCAAATTTTCTTCTAATGTTGTCTATCATATCTCTGATTTTGTTTCCTATCACCGTCTGTCTAAGACTCACCTAGTTTTTGCCTTTCAGTTGTCTTTTGTGTCTATTCCTAGTCATTTTCAGGATGCCCTTGGAGATCCTAAGTGGAAGGCTACTATGGTAGATGAAATGAAGGCTCTCCAGAAGAACTCTACTTGGGAGTTGGTCGAGTTACCTCAGGAAAATAAGACAATGGGGAGTAAGTGGGTGTTCTCAGTGAAGTATAAGTTAGATGGGACAGTTGAGAGGTACAAGGCTGGACTAGTTGTCAAGGGATACACTCAGACTTATGGGATTGATTATTAAGAGACCTTTGTTCATGTGGCCAAGATGAACAATGTTTGAGTTATACTCTCTCTCGCAATTAATTTGGACTGGCCATTACAACTATTTGATGTAAAGAATGCCTTCCTTTATGGTGATTTGATAAAGGAGATGTATATGGATCCTCCCTTGGGGTTTACACCTGAAGGAGGTAAGGTATGCAAGCTAAAGAAGGCTTTATACGGGTTGAAACAATCACCAAGAGCATAGTTTGGCAGGTTGAGCTACTCAATAAAGAAGTATGGTTTTAAACAAGCTTTGGCATATCACACTCTCTTCTATAAGAGGAATGGTGATGATATTACTTTGCTTATCGTTTATGTGAATGACATGATTGTTACAGGTAACAACATTAATGAGATAGAGAAGCTTCGGAGCTATTTGGCTAACGAATTTGAAATGAAGGACTTGGGGGTTCTGAAATGCTTTCTGGGCATTGAAGTGTCTCAGTCCAAGCAGGGACTTTTTCTCTCTCAACGAAAATATACATTAGATCTCTTGGATGAAACTGGTAACTTTGCGTGTGTTCCTTCAGACACTCCTATTGAAGTAAATCATGGATTAGCTATCTATCCTGATCAAATTCTGACAAACAAGGAGAGATATCAGAGACTAGTGGGGAAGCTGATTTATCTGACTCACACTAGGCCTGACTTGTCGTATGCAGTTAGTGTTGTGAGTCAATTCATGCACAATCTGAGTGACTGACACATGAATGTAGTGAATCGTATTTTGGTTTATCTAAAGTCCTCTCCGGGTAAATGTATTATGTTCTCTAGGCATGGACACTTAGACATTGTGGGTTATATAGATTCTGATTTTGCGGGAGCCAAGTTGGATAGGAAATCTACTTCAGGGTATGTGTCATTCGTTGGAGGCAATTTGGTGAACTGAAGGAGTAAGAAACAGAATGTGGTATCGTTGTCTAGTGCAGAAGTTGAATATTGTGCTCTTCATCATGCAATTACGGAGCTTACATGGTTAAAGATTCTCTTAAGTGAGCTTGGATTTGGTCCAAAGAAACCTATATTGATTTTTTGTGATAATACGACAGCTATTGATATTGCTAATAATCCAGTACAACACGATTGAACTAAGCATATTGAACTTGACCGAAACTACATTAATGATAACCTGGATTCTGGTTTTGGTGTGATAGAGGTTCCTTACATTAAGAGTGCGAACCAGCTGGCTGATACGATGACTCATGGTGTTACTAGTGGTTCGTTTCATACATCATTGTCCAAGTTGGGCATGTGCGATATTTATGCACCAACTTGAGGAGGAGAGTTAGCATGTACAGCTGTTATCTATTAGCTGTTGTTATCTATTAGTTGGTAGTATTAGCTGTTAATATATTAGCTGTCAATTTAATTGTATAGTTGACTTACCTTGAATAGGTTTGTGTATTTTGTATAAACATCCTTGAAATATATGAAACAGAAGTATCTTTTCAGCCATTTATCAATTCAAGTAAAAGTAATTTTCTTTATGATTGCCAACTAACATTTTTTTCAAAGACATTACAAATTTACAATCCACCACCTCTTAGAATGCTATGTCCTGATTCCTATTATAATAAACTCGACCAATTTACATTATGAAATTTTTTTTATCTTACACTCTCTTGTGGTTCACAATTTTAAAATAGGTCTATTGAGTTGCTAACATGTGTTTATATTATGAGTCTTTGACCTATTTCAAGAGATAATGCACAATGAAATTCAAATTAACATTTTTTACGATTTGCGAAAAATATATGTTAAAAAAATTAAATTTCAACTAATTAAATTTTTTTGTTCCAACTAAAAAACATTTTTAGTTGATACTAATTTCCAAGTCATTAAATTCAAATTAACATTTTTTTATGACATGCAGAAATTTATATATATATTTTTCCAACTAAATTTTTTTTTTTTTTTCCCCTAATTGATACTCACACCGCCTTTTTATTTTTAATAATTGTTTGTATGTAAGAGGATTCAAACCTTAAACTTAATATTTCCCAATACACCAAGGCTAAGTTTTATATTGCTCATTACATTATTTTCAAATTGCAATAATGTGCGGCTCTAACACATTATTATAAAAAATTAATTTATATTATAATTCCTTTTTATTGAAATAATTTAAATAAAAATTTTATCCTTCTTTTTTAAAAAAATAATTATTTGCATGTAAGAGGAGTCGAATCTTAAACTTAATACTTCATGAGACACCAAAGTTGGGTTTTGTATTGCTCAACACATTATTTTCAAATTGCAATAATGTGCAGCTCAACACATTATTATAAAAAGTTAATATATATTATAATTCCTTTTTATTGAAATAATTAAAATTAAAATTTTATTTTTGAAAAATAGACTAACTATTTTGAAAATAAAAATGAAGCTAATGGAAAATTTATAGAGGTTGTTTAAATAGCCAAATAAAAAAATTAGCTTATAGTTTAATTATTGGATTTTTGGATAAAAATTAGGCAAAAGTGCAAAAAAACTCTTGGACTATCCACTTTGTTGCAAATCCCCCCTAAAGTACCAAAGTGTGCAAATAGCCCCTGGAACTCACCGGATCAGCTTTCCGGCGCCGGTTGATTTGAAAGGACCGAAATGACCTTACTTATTTCATTATATATAAAAAAAAAACTTAATTGTAAAATACCAATTATACCCCCCACTAACTTATGTTGCCCTAAATTCTGAATCAAAGCAAGCCCTGACACTTGCCGGCCTAATCGACGACCTCTATGGCGACCTCCGTTGGCGACCTCCACAAATCGAAACAAGCCCTAACACTTGCCGGCGACGTGCTAGACCGTGGTGGAGATGAGATCAAGATCTTCTACTTCCTTCAGAAACTGAAGCACGAAGCCGAGAAGAGTGGTCATCACCATGAACGGCAATCATGAGATCATGAATGAAAAAAGTGGACTGCCGGTGACAATGAAATTATTTTTTGTTGACGGTGGGAAGATCGGTGAGATTGGAGGACCTTGCGGTGCAGAGAGCTCTGTATAACCCACCGCAACGAGTAAGGATGTGCTCGGGACGGCGAGTTGAGGGAGACGGCGAGAAAATATGTCGGCAGCGTTTGTGGGCTTTGGATAGCGGCAGCGGCAGAGGGTGGTGGTGAGAGCGACGTCAGAAGATTCCCGGCGGTGGCAACAGAGATGATGGGAAGGCTCACGGTAGAGAGCGTGGAACAGCGGTGAATTCTGCTGTTGGTGGCGGCTGGTTAGGCCGTGGATGACTTGGCCTTGAATGGCTCCGACTGACAGTGATCAGACCGGCGGTGGCAATGGCAAAGAGCTCGATTGAGGGCGAGCAGGGGGCTGGGCACGGTGATGGCTGCCTTGACTGGGTTGAATGAAGGCTTGGCGTTTGATGGGTTTTTTGATGAGCTCAGTTTGTTGAGCAACAGAAGAAGCGGTCCGATGCGTAAGAGAGTGCGGTTATCGGAGAGGTTGAGAACAACAACCAAGGCTTCACAGTTTCAGTGAGATGATGGGTGATTCAACTTGCCACCTACACGCTCCCATATACTATAGATTCAGTAGTATATAGACACTGAATCCTATTATGTTTGATGGTATATATATGAAAATACACTATCAAACATATAAATATCACAAAAAAATAAATTTATATATATATATATATATATATATTAAAAAGGACAGTTTGGGCATTATTATAATCTCACCATGTGCGTGACTTTACACATGACAGAAAAATTGATCCGGTGAGTCCTGGATGTATTTGCACACTTTGATACTTTAGGAAAGTGGATAATTTAAAGAGTTTTTTTGCACTTTTACCTAAAAATTACTCCGTACTATAATTATACTCCGTAAAAATTTAAATCTAATTTGATAAGAGTATAATTTTGAAATATATATTGAACTAATTGCCGCCTCGTTCCTGGGAATCTCCCTCGCTTAGCAACTCCAACAATTTGAGTTGCAGAGATGAAATCAATCAGGATTCATGCGGTTTTCGAGTCTCCCTCTCTCCCAAACTCAATGACTCACCACCGTTTTTCATTCCGAGTTCACCCTCACAACAACTCCTCTCTTTCAGTCCTCTCCCCAACTACTTCTCCAACCCTAAATCTTCATCAGCTCAATCGAAATCGAATTCTAACAACATCTTGTGTGGATGAAGCAATAAACATCTACAACAATATGGACGATGGCTTAACATCGGATGACAAGATTGCAGGCACCTTTGGTATGTAACGCGCGCACACTCTCTTTCTCCCTCTCCATATGTGTGTATAAATGTATAATAGACTAACACAAACATACATATCTGCAATAACATTTTTATTCCTTCCATATTGTATAGGCGATCGTTCTATTCAAATTGCGGCATGGATCGGTGTGGCTACTGTTGCAAGCAAGATTCTGGTGACCTTGAATTACTGATACTACTTATGATTATAAAGAAAAATAAAGGAAACTGATACATTTTGAATTTGTTAGTTGATTTTTTTTCTTTTTCTTTTTTAATTTATTCCGGGTATCTGAGGCTCTTGCCCCCAACTAATTCCCACAACACCCTGCAAAGCGCCCCTCACATGAGTCGGGTAAAGCCCAAGCTTTATCCGCGGGCGTTCCCCCAAGGAATTGTTAGTTGATTTTTCCATTGCAGTTTTCATGGCCTTTCCTTTTCTCTTTATTTATGTTTGACTGTTCTTCTCCTCCTTTTTTTAGTATTCACTTTTTATTTTTATTTTTTAATGGTTTTAATTATAAATTGTAGCAATATTGATGGTATAGGGACTACTTAGAGAGATCACCATGGCTGCAACCTTCGGCGTAGGTCCTGTGGCCACCGCATTCAAGTATATTTATTTGTTTATTCACACAAACACATACATATTTCTTCCTCATTAGGGATTTTGTTCCCCAAATGCAGAGTTGGGAAGTTACTCATTTTATCAGTGAGTAATATTCATACCTTTACTCATACTGTGTCTACATTACAGATACGCTTCAGTGCTTCCTGGTTTTTTTGCATCACTTTTGGGCGGTTAGTTTTCCTGCAATACTTACTGATTCAATTTAAAGATGGTACCATTTTGCTTTCTTAATTATTTAGATAGATGAATAATCAAGAAAATGCATCTACATTGACATACACTTCTTGTTATTTTGGCTAGCATATGGTTATGTCAAACATAGACCTATAGTTTAAGTTGGAAATCACGAAGTTGATAAAATCACTGACTGCATCACTATGAATGGTGAATTTTTATTTACTTAGATCACGTTGCAAAAGCTATTCTTATTTTTTTGTCTGCATAGTATAAATGCTTCACTGATTAATCTTATATACATTTAGTATTTTAGCTAGAATCCAGGGGTTCTTTATACATTTCTTGTCATTACATTTGTATTCACTAGTTGTTGGACATTTCATGCAGGTGTAAATGGTCCCATCCATATTACTATGGCCACCACTCTAAGGTTGTGCATCCTATCTGAGCAAGTAGCATTTGGCTCCTCACCTGTGTGTCACATTTTGATTTCATAGTAATTGGCATGTATTTTATAAATAGTGACGTAATATCATTTACTTTCTGTTCCCGTGGTTGCAATACTCTTCTGTTTTCATTACAGGGTTACTTGTATTTACTAGTCCTTTATGTTTTAAGATATTTCAGGCAAGCTTTATGTAGTTGTACATAAAGTTTTTTCTTCTTTCACATGTTTCTAGAGTTAAACTAGAGGAAATATGACTGTAGCTTATGGAATATAGTGCCATTTCATTGTCACAATTTACTACTCTAAGAACAATATATTTTTTCTTGCAATTTTCTGCAAAGGTTTCCAATTGTCTGTCACTTCAATAAGGGATATTATTAAACATTTATTATATGTCTTTGATATTTGTGAGCAATGCACGTGTGATCAGCAAGCTTTCGGAGGAGCGTCGAAGGAGGCTGTTTAAACATACAAATGCTGCCATGTTCCTGGTATGCTTAATCTTATTAGCACCTCATCTGTGTTCTGTAATACCCCTTTTTATATTAATAAAATTATTATATTGTGCAGGTTGGAGGTGTTTTGGGTATTCTTGTGTTTGTGTCTGCTAAGTTCATTATTCATCTTTACGCACCTGGGTAAGAATTCTACAAAACTAAACAGAAGATTAAAATGAAGATTATATTTCTGAGGAAGAGCTAAGAAGTAATTTAGCAGTCGGGGGCATGTACCTTATGATTTGATTTTTAACAGTAGCTGTCTATATCTTAATTAGATGGTGGAGGTCGTTAACTGGGAGATTAAGTTTTGTCTTTTGTTGTACAAATCTTCTGGACATTATCAATTATCATTAATAATTTTAAGTGAAGTAAATTAGTGAGCCTTTATAATTGTACATTTTGGGTTCTGGAAGACGTTGGATTAAACATTTCAATTGGTTAATTGAGTATTACCTATTTTGAGCTCCCTTTGCCATCATTTGGTATTTATCTGTGAGATTTCACTAGATCTAAGAAAATGAGGTTGATTAAGTTTTTCCTTTCCTCACAGTAGACCTACTTTTTCTATCACAGTTAGTATTTTCTTTTTGGCCAGAAATAAGAATACATGGTTACTTGAAGTGGCTCTATGAGCCATGCAGTTTAAAAACGATGCTCTTCATGTTTCCTTCATCTCCCTCCTTATTTTTATTTATTTGTTTATTTGTTTCATTGTTTTTGCCTTTAAAAGTTTACAACTATATGGGATATCCTCTTCCTGTACTAACTTTGCACTTTTGCTTATTTTACTCAAATTTGTCTCCATCAATTATGGTTAACAACGGTAATGCACTCATGAAATAATTATTCATACTATGATATGTTCAGGCTTTCATTTGTAAAATTGTAACAGGTTTAATGATACACCATCGAATCATTAGAAACTTATGAAAGGCTTTATTTGATTATGTTTTCCTAATTCACAGTTTGTGGATCTTGACAGAAGGTCAATTTTTGAGAGAAATGGCTAGTGCACAGGTAACTATGCTTTGTTCAAGTAAATTTCAAGAGGCCAGTTTACTTTTATGTGGACGTAATTAGTTTTACTTCAATGATTTTGGTTGCACAATACAAATTTTCAACTGGATACACCACCCCCCTCCAAAAAAAAAAAAAACGAAGGCACGCGAAAACCTTATTATTATTATTATTTTCCATATAACATTGATTCTTTACGCCACAAAGGATACAGAGTTCTTCTTGTTCCTATTTTGGCGATACTATCTTGGAATTGGTTTCCACCCTTCATCTTCATGATAATAGACTTCTCTTTATTTGGAGACTCTATGTTTAGTGCATTGAGTTTGTAATGAAATGTTAGTTTAAAATCAGGAAGTTAAAAATTAAAGCTTAAATAGGGAAGAAATGAAAATAAGTTCACTGGAGACTTTTTTTTTTAAAAAAACCAGAACTTAGTATATTTGTAATGCTTATAAGAATTCAGTTTATAATTCATATCATTGTTATTTTTTTAGAACCTCTGTGGAATATTAGCAGGGTCTGATCTAGTACTTAATAAAAAAAGGTCTGGATTCACAAGCTGTTACTATATGTGAACTAGTTACAGGATCATGTCTCGTGTATGATCATGAATACCCTACAAGAGGGCAGTATTATTGGGTAATCCTTTTAATAGGAGATTGAAGAGGGGACCAATCTTACCCTCCTTTTCTCATAAATTTTTATTTATTTTTTTATTTGTGTATTCTGTGTAGAACATTAGCATAATATGGTATCATTGAACATTCCTGTTGTTTTATTCAAGCTCAGAAAATATGGGGAAATGGATATGGTAGCCAATATTAACTTTTTGACTAGCAATCGACGGTATTGGTTATGCATAGATTCTCCTTGTTATGCATGTATCTTGTCTGACATGCCCATTTGTGTGGTCAACTGAGCAGGATTCTTCACTTATATTTTGCTACTTTTAGACTTCGTGTTATATATTAGGGTAACCAAGAGCATAACTTTTAACCCTAAATTTCATGTTAAATTTAGTCAATTTAACAATTTTTTTGATATGCTTAGCTTGCTTTCTTTTTCTTTCTTCAGCTAAAAATGATGATTCCCTGTGTAGTTCTTGCTGGCCCTGTTGGACTTGGCTTCGGATACATGAGGCAAGTAAACTTTTTCAATGTATGTGTGTTTGTTTTGTCCTCTGATATGTTCTTTATGCAATTCTTGTGTGAATTTGATAACCAATGTTTATCTTTGCTATCAGTGCATGAAAGAAATAATATTCTTCCCTCTATTATCCCTGTTTTGTCTATCTTTATGCAATTTTTGTGTGAATTTGATAACCAATGTCTCTCTTTGCTATCAGTGCAGAAAGAAATAATATTCTTCCCTCTATTAGCCCTGCTTTGTCTAGTATGCTTATGATTGCCTTCGTAAGTCAACCTCCAACATTTTCAGCTGCTGCTGTTCACTATTTTATCTTCCACTCTCTTATTCTTGATCTTGGGAATGGCTTTTATTTTTTTATTTTATTTTATTTTTTTTCCTTGAATTGTTTTAATTGATAAAGAAGCTTGTCAGATATATGTTTGAGGATGTGAACTTACTGCTATTTTATGATTGCAGTGTTTCATGTATGCTTTTATGAGACAATTTAATGTTTTCCAATCTGGCGACGAGTTATCTGGTACGTGGGAAACACTGTTCATGAATGCTTTATGCTTTTTTAATTACTGATGTTCTTGTTAATGTTTACTGCTTTATTTAGGTGGAATGCTTATATCTTTCGGAGCTTCACTTGGTGTTTTTCTACAGTGGATTATTCAGGTCCGTAATATTTATAGCAGAACCCATTTTATAATATGACATCAAGTAATGGATATTACCTTGAATGGACATGTCATTTGACTTCAGGTTATAGTGCTTAGGAGAAGACATTGCAATATGATTACAGTTTCATGGACCGATATTCTCAAGGATAGGGATGTTCACGAGGTTACTCTTTTAGCACCCTGTGATCTTAGGGCATTGATGTGACTTTCATTGGATAGTTTTAATATGTTGATGACTACTGAAAAACTCTGGTGATGCTGAATGTTGAATGTCATCTCCTTTTTTCTTTTTTCTCCTCCTTATCTTTCCTCAGTTTTTCTTGTTGCTGCTTCCAGCAACAATCAGTTCAGGGTTGGCACAAGTCGCCTCTTTTACTGATCTTTGTTTTGCGTCTATGATTCCTGGTGCTGCTGCTGGCCTTTCTTGTAAGTAGCTTTCCCTAGTTCCCATAGTTGAACTTCATAGTTTAATTTTACTAGCTTAAAATATAGGCTTTCTGTTTCTGCCTCTTCAAGTTTAGTTAGATTTTAGAATACTGAGAGGAAGGTGTTTCCATGTGACATTTTCTGAATATGACAGAAAATGTTCTTAAACTCTCTCTTACTAATTAGTAGTTTCTCATATAGTCTGATGCAAAGCTAAAGAGATTGTGGAGTTCCTATGGATAAAAAGAAAAATGGGTGGAAAATGAGACCCTATACACCTATTTTTCTATCCAAAAGTGAAAAGGCAAAAATGGAGGGAAAGGAAACTGAGTTAGTAATGATTTTTTGCCCTTAGTTTTTATAAGAAGTGGCTTTCTATTTTACCTTTCCTGCTAACAAAATAAGCTTTTCTTTTCTCTCCTTAGAAACTTTAAAACTCCCAAACAAGGGGGAGTGGCTATCACCTTGCCTGTTTTTTTTTTTCTCTCATCAAAGAGTAACCACTATCCGCGCTTCTCTTTTCTCTATCTTAATTTCCTAAATTACCAACCATACCATAAATATAGTAATGGATCCTATAAGCCACACTACCAATCTCCACAAGCTATATCTTTGCTCATTTTTTTTTGTGTATTTTACTTGAAAATTTGGAATTTTGATCTCGGCAAATTGCTTTGGATCATTGACATAGTTGCATTCTCAGATGCATATCTTCTGGTCATGGCACCGTTGAGCCTACTCTCAAGCATGGTTGTACTGCCTCTCTTACCTACTTTGTCAAAACTGTCAAAGGTATTGTAAACCAAACAAATTCCAGGCTCACCCTTTCTCTTTTTTGTTGTATACTTCTTGATCACTGTTACTAAAATATTGGGGTCCTCTAATTTTACGAAGTCGGATTTTTGTTTAATTTGGTTTTTAAATTCTTTGATAGACTCTATCGTGGCCAAGCCTCACAGAGAATATAAAGCTAGCAGTTTTACTTTGCATGGTAAATTTCTTCTACTTGGCAACGGATTAATGTGCTTTTAAGTTGCAGAACTTTTAATTTGAATTTGAATTTTTCTAACTGTCCATGGAATTCATCACGACTTCACAAGTTACCACTAAGCTTTGCTAAGCAACTGGAATAAGTTAAGCCAGACACTAAAGCCCATCCTTGCAAGTACAAAACTGAATATTTTGTTTCCTTGATGGGAAGGAAGTACAATGATTAGATGTCTGTTAATTCCAGCATTTGCTTATTTTGGCAGGTATTAATCTTGCCTGTGTTGTCAATAATGTGTGTCTTGGCAAAACGGATCATCCGTGTATTATTTGAGCGCCATGCATTTGATTCTGCAGCAAGCTCCCTAGTTTCTTCTTTGTTTATTTGTTGTAAGTATCAAATTAGTTGCTTTATGGAAACTGTGCCATGCATTTGATTCTATGGCAAGCTTTCTAGTTTCTTCTTTTTGTTTATTTGTTGTAAGCATCAAACTAGTTGCGTTATGGAAACTGCGACATTTCTATTGTTCCAGTCTTCCTGATCTAGGTATCAAAGTATCTGTTCCTCAAGTGTTCTAATTTCTTTATATTTTTATTTCCTCACAGATTCTATTGGCTCACCATTCTACATCGTTAGAGAATTGCTGGTTGCGGTTTTTTATGCCCTTGGAGATGGACAGCGACCTTTTTTGGTCAGTTTGGGTGCTATTACTTTGAATGCCATCCTGGACTGGCTTTTTGTCTCCAGGTTCTATCTTGGCGCACAGGGATTGGTATGTTGCAATTTTACTTTCTTTTTTTTGAACTTACTAAAGAGGAATCAAATATAAAGGTATCACTTTTTGATGGATTATTCTAATGATACTGATTGTGTTAATTAAGGCACTCTCAACATCATTTACAACTGCTTTGTCGGTCTTAATCCTGTCTTATCTCCTCCAGAAGAAGCTACCAGGTGAAATATGTGGACAAATGCTGCTGTTCTTTGTGATACCAAATTTGAAATTTGTGATTATCAGTTATATTTTAATCTTGCTAAAAACATCCACAGAATTAGTGGATTATGCAGCACTGGCTTTTCCTCTCTTGCTTCTGTCTTTCTGCTGCTTCGTCTCCGGCTTCACTACATCTGTTACCTATAATACAACGAACAATTTGTTGTCTTCCATCTTTATCGGGAGGTTGTTTGACATTTCCTGTTAAGCAAGATTTCTGATTCCATCTCTAGAAAGACCCTTTCTCTAATTGATTCTGGCGATTTTCATCAAATTTTTTTGCAGGTTTTCAAGGATTCAAGAGATTCTTTCCATTTGTTTGGGTGGCTTTCTTGGGATTATTGGCTTCTTCTTTCCACTCATATTGCTTCATTTATCAGGATTCAAACCAGTGAGGGATCTTGGTAGGAGATTGATGAATAGACAATAAATTACTAGTCACTGTGATGGATCATGGTACTTGGCCAAACCAGTTAGATCATAGAGTCTTGTTTTCCATGTTGAATGCTTGCCTTACTGGTTTCCTCAAAGGGGGTGGAAGCTCGTCTCAATTTTTGACAATATTGAAGTTCTTATCCTGCTGCTTCACTCTAAGATCAGTCTCTCTGATTCGATATTTCGGGCTCGGGCCTCGTTGTTTTGAGTTTGGATTGCAATTTGGTTCCGTAAATTAATTATAAGAATTCATTAACATATTTTAATTTAATTAAATTGAATATATATATATATATATATATATATATATATATATATATATATATAAAAGAGTAAAGTTGACAATTTAAGGTAAAGTTAAAAATTTAACTTACAGACCTAATAGTGTTTCCAACACTCTTAAAAGTCCTCTCAAATATAGCAAAGCTTCTTTTGGGAATACACTCCAATGGTTTTTAATATATGAAAATCTCAAAAATTTCAAAAATTTCTCAGCTTATCATATGTTGAGAATCAAAGACCTTTTTTTATTTTTGTGCAGATATGTGGAAGTCACATGAAAAAGTAAGAATAATGAATGGATGAAATGCACCATTGAAGCATTTTGATACTTAGCTCCTTTTAAAATGTAAATTTACTATAGAGAAATAACATTTTGCATTGAAGATTTTGAAAGTTTATCTAAAAGCTTTCAAGAATTTATTTTGAAATAAATAATATTTGATTTTTATAAAAATTTATAAAAATTAAGAAAGGTGAAAGTGATTTATAAATAGGTTAAAAAAAATTCAAAAGCATCGAGAAAAATGATCAAAACTCGAATATATGGCAAATTTGCCAATAACAAAAAAATTTAAAGCAATTTACATGTGAGCATCCTAAATACAAATACGTTGTCATTTTACCCATTATAATCACTGGAAGGTCTTTAGCCTGAATTGGGTTATGAAACGGCCCACGGGGCCTGTATAGTTTATCCACATAAGCCCTACCTCGCACTGTTGTTATATAAGCTGTCTTCATAAGCCCTAATTGGAAAGGGGTGTTACTACTTGACTTTGATTTTTGAATCCAAGTGAAGTGATGAAGAAGGAAGAGAGATCCAACCGAAAACGTAGAAGAATGAGGCGTGACAAACCGAATTCTCAAAAAATTTCAAAAAAATCGAAGACATCAAACATCGTCAACGAAGACAAGAAATATCAAGATGAAGAATCTGCTGTTCCTCCTGCTAAGCGTACCCCGTCTTCCGCTTTTCTCGACAAGGTCCTCTCTATCTGTGTATATATATGTGTGTGTAAATAAATACGTGTATGCATCCATTGGCTCAGTTCGTTGTATATTAATGGTTAATTGGGTGGTGGCGGTTATACATGTAGATGAGAGCAAGGTTATCGGGAAGCCATTTTCGGATGATAAACGAGAAGCTCTACACTTGCACGTACGTGTATAATGCTTTTAGATACTGTTTCTCTTATTGTTGGAATATACGTGTTTCAATTTTAGATATAGTTACATCACATAAGGTGTTCATGGATTTGATACTGTTTTCTTGGGTGAATATTTAATTTATTTTTCCTTTTCTCCAGTGGAGACGAGGCTCTTAACTATTTTAAAGAAGATCCAGATTTGTTTAAAATGGTGAGATTATTTATTCAATAACTTCATTTCATTTTGAGCTTTTATATATGTTGGGTGTACTTATTGGTTTCATGTGGTCAATTCAACATGAATGATAATAAATTTGAGATATTTGAATTTTCAATTTTAACTGCAAGCATTGGTTGCTGTTTTTTAAATTTTGTGTGATCTTCAATTGTGAGTTTTGTTCTACATGAGTGTTACTTAGAAAATATGCTATAAACAATAATATATGATGTCATGAATAGGAAGATCCTTAATTTCTAATCTCTAGCCATCCCATAAATGGATCAGCACCAGACTGCATTTCATAGGATAACGAATCTGGATAACATATAATATGGCGCAATGAATATGAGTTGTAGGAATGAACTGAATATAATTGCTGTGTGTGATTTTCCCTCATAATTAGGAGTTAATAATCCCAAGTGCTTTCAGCCAGGGGGGTTACCATGTCAGAACCCATGCTTGAATCTAAATTAGTCAATACTTTGATAGCTAGAGCCAAAATGTATCCGTCGTAATGTATGTGTGTATTGTTTATGCAAAATGCAATTTCAAGGTCATTATCCATTGTGGTCTTGTTAATCAAGCGTGTTAGGAGGGTTAGACTTGGTAAAAACTTAACCTTTGGGGCGTGATTTGCACAAAGTGGCTAACCTTAGAAAACAATCCAGGTTCTCATGCTTGGCAGTCTACAGTTTTATCATTGCACCAAACAATGGCCTCGACTTATATGGAATACACTGATTATAGTATGGATTCGATCAGCTTGTCATTGAATGTTATGCTTTGGATTGGATTTGGTTCAAGCCTTTCAATCTGTATTCTTCATGGATCTTTATTGGAGAGCCACTCCTACAAGATCTTTGTGATACCTTCAAGGTTTATTGCTATTTTTCTCACCCCCTGGGCATTCACATCTTCATTTGTATTTTAAACTTACTAAACCATCCTTTGTTCTTGCAATTTAATGGGCAAGTTATTGGTTGCAATGCATGCGTCAGTGTTAAAAATTGCAACTTATTGCTAGAAATATTTCAGGACTAGTATCTGAATGTGAATCCTCAACAAACTCATGAATGTTTTCGATAATATTCCAATTAGATCTGAAAAACAAGTAAGGACAAGATGGTTGACAATGTTTTCCATCATTGTAAGATTGTTGTAAAAAGGTTTCCATAGCATTGACCAATTTGTATTTAGCATCCATGTTTCAGCACTCTTTCTGTATCCATTTCGAAGTCTTTTTTCTGGTTCATTCTATTAAAATCTTTCATTTTTATGCTATTGGATTACATTTACGTAACAATGAGGTGTCTTGTATTTTGTTTACTTTTATTTGATCTGCTTACAGCTTTGTTACTGGCAACAGAAGTAATGTTTTGTAATTTTATTATTAAAATATACATGACATCTTGAGGTTCTGTTTTATAACTTATGTTTACTACCTGGCCAGTATCATGCAGGATATCAAGAGCAAATGTTGCATTGGCCTGAGCAGCCAGTTAATATTATTATAAAATGGCTAAAGGATCACAACCCTTCTTTAATTGTGGCTGATTTTGGCTGTGGTGAGAACTTTATAGAATTTGCATGGAAATCTTTTGAACATAAATATAACCAAATAGTGATACTTGTTAATACTTTTTTTGGTTGCTATGTTAACATCATCATGTTCCATTATGTTTCAGGAGATGCACGGCTCGCAAGAAATGTCAAGAATAAAGTGTACTCTTTCGATCTTCTCTCAAATGATCCTTCCGTAATCGCTTGTGATATGTCAAATGTATGTTCTGCATTATGTTAGACTTGCGATTGTGATCTTCTTGCTTTTAAATGATTCTCTTGCAGTATGCCCAGAATTATTTTTATAAGAAATTTGGGATTTCCTTTCCAGCATATTGGTGCAGTTGTTATACGTTGTAACCACTTATAGAATGTTAGTCAACAAGAAAGAAAAAATACATTTTTCTTTGTCCTTTGTTGTGTTATAATTTCGAAGTTATGAAGGTATGGACGATAGATGGTCCAAAATTCAACTCATATTAGTTCAGCAAGAGTTGAACGGAAATATGAACTCATAATACAAGATCCTATCCGATTTGTATTATATTTAAGTCTCAACTTTGTAGTTTAGGCGCATGCCAGACTATTCTCAATTTTTGAATCATGCAAGTGATTGTAATCGAGATATAAGATACATAACTAAATTAGAGGCTAGTTTTACAATGTCTTCTACTTCTTTTCACTTGATCCTTTGGAATTTTTAAGAAGCAGAGTCTCAAGAGTCTTTAGAATTCAAAGACTATTTTTTCTTTGAGGATTTCTATATGCAACTATTAAAGGACCTCACTGATAGTTAAATGCTCCTGCTCTTAATTGCAGACATCCCTCGACTCTTCCTCTATAGATGTTGCTGTCTTTTGTCTTTCACTAATGGGGACTAATTTCCCAAGTTACCTCAAAGAAGCACACAGAATTCTTAAGCCACGGTATGCATGGGATTTCATTTATAGCTTTTAGATCACCTTATCTGTTTTTTGCTTTTCTTGTTCATAATTTAGTACTTGATGGCTCTTTACAGTGGCTGGCTTTTGATAGCAGAGGTAAAGAGCAGGTTTGATCCCAATACTGGAGGAGCAGACCCAGATAGGTTCTCAAAAGCTGTCTGTGAGCTAGGATTTACATCTGTTTCAACGGTACGTTTATATTCCTATCGTCTTTCTTTTCAGATTGATGCTTCATTTATCCATGCTAATGATGCATACTCTGTGCAGGATCTCTCCAATAAAATGTTCATACTGTTATACTTCCAGAAAAAGGTTCGGTAGCTTTATCTGTTTTACTTGCGAGATGGAATCTGGTCCTTGATTTAATATGGTGAGATGTTCATAATGAATTTCTTCACTCTGCGCGTTTTACAGGAGAAACAAAATTTAAAGAGGAAGGGAATTGAGTGGCCTGAGCTGAAGCCTTGTTTGTACAAGCGTCGCTGAGCTCTGGACATGGTGTTTCCGTGATTAGGTTGATAGCATCAATCGCGTTTTCTTGCGCGCCCTGAGAATGCTGATTTACTACTACATGACCGAATGTTACCGTGCAGCTGCTGGATGTAGCATGTATATGCAGTTGAGGGTCAGTTCTCACAAGATATATTCCTAGCTGGTGCCGGGAATGAAGTAGGGTTTAATAGATGTGGATCATAAATAAGTGTGTGTGTGTGTGTGTGAAAGCTCATCAAGTTTATATTTGAATTTGAATTTAAATTTGATCCAATTCAGGAACTCGTAGACTACATTTCATATTGATCTCTACTTCTTTCATGTACCTCATCTTAAACTATCTTTGGTGATTTATGAGAAATAGTCTTTTGACCTCAATTACTGACTCTTCTTCCTAATATAACGTGGTTGAATTACGTTGGAACTCTTTAAAAAAATAAATAAATTAATAATTAATTTCCGTAAATGTCCCTTTCTCTTCAACTCATTGCTAATCATGTTGTATTCGAAGGAGGAGTTGACAATTGAGACCAGAAGACTTATCATTTCTTAATTTTGTAACATGTATTGAATAACATCACTTTAAAACCGTAAGATTGTCATGATGAGCAACCTCATTCTGTAAGTTTGATTTCCTTGCTTCAATGAAATAAATGAATCTACTAGTCAGGTAAAATGTTAATAAAAAAATATACAATAAACAAAACAAAGCTATGTGACCTATCTTTGAAGCTTACAAGGACTTCACTTTACAAAGTGTGTTTTTTGAAAACAATTACGTTACCAATGAATAGAACCTCGGGATCTGATTGTTCAGTTGATGGGCTTCACACGTTGGCCGGCCAAACACTCGGTATTAAGTGTCTTGATTAGCCAATGAGCCTAGTTTGGTACGTCGATGGCTTAAAAAGAAAAACTATTCAACCAAATACAGACCATAAATATATATACATATAGGGAAAATTACATATAAATGGAGTTAAAGTTTCATATTTACTTATAGGCTGATTCAAAGTTTCATATTTCTCTAAAATGGATTGCTGAGGTGGCACATGGTTTTTTACTGTTTAGAAATTACGGTGCCTAAAATACCCTTCCGCGAAGGTACTACTTTTTCTTCGAAGGTACTACTTTTTTGAACTGAAGGTACTACTTTTTGGTGTCCAGGTACCATATTTTTTAAACACCCGCGAAGGTACTATTTTTTCTCTGAAGGTACTACTTTTTTGAACTGAAGGTACTATTTTTTTGAACTGAAGGTACTACTTTTTTGTTAGGGAAGGGCATTTTAGGCACCACAATTTTTTAAACAGTAAAAAATCATGTGCCACCTCAGCAATCCATTTTAGAGAAATATGAAACTTTGACTCAGTCTCTAAGTAAATATAGAACTTTGACTCCATTTATATGTAATTTTCCCATACATATATATATATGCGTAATTATATATATTCTTGAAGTTATGATTTATTGGATCTCTCTCACTCTCGTTTCTTAGTCAAGGATACAATTTCAAGATTCTCAACGACATGGACATCTCTTTCATCCACATATGTTAGTACTTAATCCACAATCACCGTCCTTAATGTTATTTTTACTTCGAATTTATTGGTGAGAATGAAATACACATTCTCCGAGAAAGATAAGAAATAAACCTTCTTTTTTTAAAGTTACTTTGCTATCAAAAATAAAATAAAACTAAAAGCATTACATTTCCACTTACAAAACTAGCCCTAAATGTAATCAGACAACAACGAGACCAATTTTCCAAAATTGTCACCCCAAGCCAAATGCTCGAAGGTGTAACCATGTATTGGCTCAACACTTGAGTTAACTTTCCAATCAAACCCAAGTCAACCAAAAGTCAAAAGAGATACACCACCACTACTATAAGCAACTATAGGTCTTCACTCCACGCAATTTTTAATGCCTCGAATCTTCCCTCACCTAACACCACCATGTTTGGTTGGTTTTTATTAGCATGAAAAGTAGTCGAACCTGAATTTAAAACCTCCAGTTTTAATGAAACAAAGAGTAGTCCACAAGTTATTATAATTAGAAGGTGAGATGCGTCTGTCTAAGAAGCTAGAGGGCCAATTTTAATTGGAAGGAAGAGTGGGCATGCCTCTGTGAATGCATCCATCATCCAAGCCTGAATTCTTGGCATTTACTCCCTCTTCAACAAAAATTAAGTAAATAATTTAATTGTGTTAACGTCTATAACCCACCATTATTGGAAAAATTAAGTAACAAATATAATTGTGTTAACGTCTATAACCAGTAACCACCATAAATTACAACTTTTATTAATGTTGTTGGGTTCCACCACAATGGTCCCTAAGTTATTCTAATTAGACTTTTCTGCAATTTAATATACCATGTTAGACTTTTCTGCAATTTTACTATAGATTCCGAATCTATCGCTAGGTTTTGGGAATAATGCAATGAACTGAACTACAATTCTTATATAAATAATTGAAGGGTAGTTAGAACTAATCTTCAACTATTCTCTGTCTAAGGATCAACCTCCATAAATGAAATTATAATGTTGCACCGAGGGCTTGCTCTGCTAAGAAAATCAAGAAAATCAGTTGGTTTCATGGTGTTCTTAGTTGGCAACGGATCATCCATTCCAAACAATCCTGTAAGTCTCATCATCCTTCCTAATTTTCTGTCTTATGTATTTCATAAGCTGAATTTTTTTTTTTTTTTGATGTGTTTGTTTCGAATATTTTATATACCTGACAATAATCAATACTACTGTAAATGTCAAGATTAAATTTACCCCACACAAAATAAATGGTTGATCAATGTCATATTTATTATATGTACAACAAAAAAAATAGCAAATAAAACTATAATTAATATAGGATAAAGAATAAAGAAATTTTTGGGGTTGAAATGGAAAGTTATTTGCAAACAAGTGTCTTAAAACCTTTGTAACCTTCTTAGATACAGCTGCAAGTTTTCAGCCCATTTCTTTTATGAACATGTTGAAATAAAGACTGTTGGATTATCCCATTAGAAAATTTGAGTTTTATTGCATTAATCTAATTGAGTGTGAGAGAGATTGGTTGCTTTGGTTTGGTAGCCCAACAAATGCTTGGATCTAGAGATTATTTGAAAGGAGGAAAAGAAATCACAGTTGCCGACGGATGATTCATTCCAAACAATCCCTGTGACTGTGAGTCTCACCCTCCTCCTTAATTTCTTCTTATCTTCAATGTTTTATATGCTAAATTTTTCATTTTCTTTTTTATTTTTTTCTAATTCAAGAAAATGGTAGTTTTTTTTAATTTAAATTGAAATTGGGTTTAGGTTTTCAATCGAATCAGTAGAAAAGGATGCCGCAGATGGCGACTTGTAATGACATTTATCAGCTGCTTCCTCAAGATGTGATCATTGAGATCCTCTCAAGGCTGCCCGTGAAATCACTGCTTCGGGCCAGAGTGGTATGCAAAAATTGGTACACTATCATAAAAAACCCTAGTTTTGTTACTAAGCACTTCAACCACACCAACAACAGTGGCCGTCTTTTTGTCAACCGTTTTGACAAAACTTCCCAGAAATTTGTTTTCTCATTGTTCCCTGATCAAACACTAGCCGGTTCACCCCCGGTGTATCAGGATGTGGCGGCGGATGTACTCCATTATCTTTGGGTTGGTGCCTGTAACGGCATACTGTGTCTCTGCAATCGCAATAATTGGAAACACTTTGCTCTGTGGAATCCGGCAACCAGAGAATTTAAGTCCCTCCCTGTATTCCCTCGTAGCTTTCCACCCAATGTGGCGAGCTCCCAAGAAACTTTTGGATTTGGTTTCGATCCCATTACTAATGACTACAAGGTGGTTTGGATTTGGAACACACTGGATGATGTTATGGAAATGAGGTATGGTCCTTATCAGGTTGCTGTGTATACACTTTCCACCGATTCCTGGAGATATCTCGATGTTGCTTTGCCTTATTCTAGCATTGCCACCCCTCGCTCTAATACATGCATTAATGGAGTTTATCACTGGTTTGCAATACACGATGACGGTCATCCTGTGATCCTTTCATTTGACATGGGTATTGAGTTGTTTCACGAGATTCGTGATATTCCAAGTTCAAAACCGCCGGTTCTTGTATCCTACAACAACTCTCTTGCTCTCATGTATTATGATCGCGGTCCAGTTAACATTTGGGTGATGAAGGAGGAAAGAGGTTGGTCCAAACGATTTAGTGTTGAACTCCCTTCAGCTGTCAGATTGCCGTTTGGGTTTTGGAAGAATGGTCAGCTTATTACAGAAATTGGTGATAGTCATGTGGTGTTATATGATCCCGAGACTCGTGAAATTAAGCATCTTGGATCCCCGATTTGGGCTGATTGCTTGGTCTACAGGGAGAGTCTATTCACGATCAAGGGTGGAGATGGGTTTCTAGAAAATGATCAGTCGTCTGATGTAGATCAAATTATAAACTTTTCTAAGACCCAGTTCAGTCCAACCTGACCTGCCATTCCAGATGAAATAGATTTTGAAATTTCTGATTTATATCACCTCTCTTGTGATTCATGCATGTGTTCTGGTGAAAAGGAGAAATTATTTATTGGTACGTGCAGAAAATGTAAAGCCCTTGCTATTTTATAATTTTATTTATTGGTAATATAGCTCCATTTGAAATTAAATATATCAATAGTCAGTCTAATGTACTTCCTTACCTTCATTTTTGATGGGGCTACCATGTTTCTTGCCGGATAAATAAAATGATTGAACATTAAGACACCGTTCGGCTAGATAAAAATGAGTAAGAAATAAAATGAAATACAAAAAAAAAAAAAAAAGAAAGTGAAGTGAATGAAATTAAAAGTTATTTTATATTAAACATTTGATTAGTATGAAAATTTATTGAGAAAAATTGTATGAAAATATTAGTTTGTTGCTTTGGATGGTATGAAAATGAAAAGAAAGTGATTGTATATACCAAAATTATCCTTATAATTTCAAATATTAAAAAAATAAATAAATTTATGTTTGGTGATGTCTATTTTTATCAAAAGTTTTAATAAAATGATGAATTATTAAATTTATTAATATAATTATTTATATTCATTTATATTGTTTAAATTAAAACAATACTTCAAGACTTCTTAGGTAGAAGTAAAACTAACAATTCATTTAAGAGAAATAAGGAAGTTTAAAAATATAAAATAATAATAATAATAATAAATTGGGCTCGTGGACTTCCAACAAAAGAACACAAAAAGAGCAAAATATATATTATTCTATATATATATATATATATATATATCATATACAATGTATATATTTCCAAAAAAAAAAAAAAAAAAATAGTCCAAATTGTACTGCAAGAGAACTTGCCTTTTAGAAGTCTACTAAAATAGAAATTGTTACCGAACTTGCCTTTTTGAAACTCAATAGAAAAGAAGCTCAGGTAGAATAGAAATTCAGTTGCTTTACATGATTTAGTTGTTAGATAAAATATGAACTTCAAATAAAAAGAAACAGTTTTCACGAGAAAATATTATTTTCGCGTGTTTTGTGTGAAAAAAGTTTTGGAAGGAACTAGTCTAATAGGGGAAACTATATTTTCTATTACGATTCTTTTTCCATCTATTCAAATTCTAAAAAATATTAAAAAATAGAAGTTACTTTTCCTTCTTCAAATGAATCTTAATTTTTTCCTTCAAAATTCTTTTATTTTTTTATTTTTTTCAGTTTTCAAAATTCTAATTTTTGCACTTTTGTGTGGTATATGTGTGTAACATTTTTTCTCTTCTTCACGGTAATAATTGTAATTTTTTTTTGGCGAACAATGACCTTATTGAAACTTGTCATGTTAGGAAATGAGGAGTAAAAATTTATCACCTTAGGTATGCCTCCCTTTAAATAGATTATTAGTTCTGTAGAATAAGTGACTGTTAAAGAGTAATAATATCAACTTATCATGAATAATGCCAGTTTATCATGTGTTGCAAGTGATAGTTAAGAGTGTCTTTTGTTAACTTTATTAAAAATGAATGTGATTATTTAAAAATAGATCAATTTGTAAAATTGGGACAAACGATAAAGTTGTCACTCTTTACGTAAAAGTAAAATTAGTACTAGTTATGTAAACAAAGTACCATTTTTAATATTTTCTTTGTAGATTTCATCCCGGTAGTTTTCACGTGATACACCAACTTCCACCAAAATCATGAATGGTACTTATGGCAAATTTAGTTTAGTAAAAATTTTCAATCTAACTTAATGCATTAAAATTTTGAATTTTTTTTTTTTTTTCCTCACTTTTCATAGTTAATTTTCATATAATTAAACCTTAATTTTATAAATAAAACAAGAATTTAACATTCATCAATTAATAATTATTTTAGTCAAACATAATGAGTTATTTCCGCACATTATATTGAAATTGGAGTATGTTTTAGCAATTTTTTTGTTGTTGTTGTTCAACCTGGACATGAAACTCACGTATAACTTTCAGAGTACGGAGACTTATAGCTTTGGCATTGGAGAATAGTCAGCGGTCAATATTTTTCTTTTCGGTTCAGTAACATCACTTGTAAACAAAACGGAGTAGAAGGTCCTTGACTGACAGAGAGAGTGAGAGAGAGAGATTTGACTTTTGGAGAGGCTGCTTGTGCTGGCTCGTATTCTTTGCGTTTCTTGCACTGATCTAGTTGAGTTTCAGAGAGATTGATTGCTCTGGTAGCCCCAACAAGTGCCTATATTATCTACATATTTCAAAGGGAAATCGCAGTTGGTTTCATGGTGTTCTTAGTTGTCAACGGATGATCCCATTCCAAACAATCCTGTAAGTCTCATCGCCCTTCTTAATTTCCTGTTAGCTTGAATATTTGGCATGCTGAATTTTTCTCCATATTTTTTTTAATTGAAGAAGAATGGTAGTATTTTGATTTCAATTGAATTTGGTTTTGGGTTTTGGGGTTTAGGTTTTCAATCGAATCAATTGAAAAGGGGGCAGATGGCGACTGATAATGAAATTCCTGTGGATGTGATTATTGATATCCTCTTAAGACTGCCTGTGGTATCACTGATTCGAGCCAGAGTGGTATGCAAAAATTGGTACACCATCATCAAAAACCCTAGTTTTGTCACTAATCACTTCAACCACCACACCAACAACAGTGGCCGTCTTTTTGTTCACCGTTTGGACATAATTTCCCATAAATTTATTTTCTCATTGTTCCCTGATGAAACACTTGCCGGCTCTCCTCTTGTGTATGAGGATATGGTGGTGGATATGCCTCACTATCTAGGCATCAGTCTCTATAATGGCATACTTTGTCTGTCCAATCACTTTCGTTCCAATCACTTTGCTTTGTGGAATCCGGCAACCAGAGAATTTAGGTCCCTCCCCATGCCCTCTCATAAATTTCCACACGAAGAAACTTTTGGATTTGGTTTGGATCCTATTACCAATGATTACAAGGTGATTTGGATTTGGAAAACACTAGATGATGTTACAAATGTGAGGTACGGTCCTTATCAGGTTGCTGTGTATACACTCTCTACCGATTCCTGGAGATATCTTGATTTTCCCATGCCTTATTCTGACATTGATACCCCTCCGTCTAACACATGCATTAATGGAGTTTATCACTGGTTTGCAATACACAATGACCACCGTCGTCGTGTAATCCTTTCATTTGACATGGGCAATGAGTTGGTTCATGAGATACGTGATATTCCTAGTTCAAAACCTGCAGTTCTTGCACCCTACAACAACAATAACTCTCTTGCTCTCATGTGTCGTGATTATGATTCTTCAGTTGTTGACATATGGGTGATGATAGAAGAAGGGTGTTGGACAAAACAATTCACTGTTCAACTCCTTTCAAAACACAAATTGCCGCTTGGGTTTTGGAAGAATGGTCAACTTTTTATGGGAAGTGATGATGATGATACTAATTTAGCCTTATATGATCTAGAGACACATGAGATCAAGCATCTTGGATCCTTGTTTTTGTTCAATGTCTTGGTCTACAAGGAGAGCCTCGTCACAATCAGGGGCAGAGATGGGTTCCTAGAACAGGATCAGTTGTCTGATGTAGATAAAGTTTTAAACTTTTCTAAGTGAGGAATTTGAAATTTCTGGTTTATATCTCATCTCTTATGATTCACTCGTTTGTTTGGGTGAAAAGAAGGAACCAGATGCAGAACTAAAGGATAATGTCATGTTATTATATCATTTTGTATATTGGTAATATAGTTGGATCTAAAATTATAGAACATTGCTGTCTGGATCAATGTTGTGGAGGTCTTTGAATTGGAGGTTATATATTTTGTCTATGAGATGTCCAAATGTAGCTTTGATTTATGATGACAGGGTGAAAGCAAAAGTGCAAGGCAAATAAATAAATAAAATAAAAATGAATTACTACCTAGGAAGAATAAAGATGCAACTCTAGTAAATCAATCCCATTCCCTTGCAGTAAACGTTAGAATGGAAAAACATCTTATTGATCTAAATCCGCAAATGCGTATTAATTCTTGCTCATGTGGGAAGTTGAGATTGTGGCTGTATGTATGTAGAAGAAGTAAGGAGTTTTTGTTGCTTTGTCCCACTACCAGTTAAATAGCATCATCAGCCCCAAATTTTGGTGTAACATGGTGGTTTTAAGTGTCTGATCTGAAAAAAAAGGTTTCAGTGTGACTCCGATACTATGCTCCATCATAGATAAATAATTTTCTCCCATGGAACTGATAAAACATCTGATCTACAAGGACAGTAATGTATGTAACAGAAGAATAAATGCATTGACAAGGCGCGGAAACTAACTCATGAGTTGTTAATGCATCACACTACTTGAAAAAGCTCATATTGCAAAAGTTTGAGCATTCAACTTATTATTATTTGTACTGAAGCTGGGACATTCGATGCCAAGATGACTAGGTAGCTGATCACTGCGAGCCACTGATGTACACTCTAAACTTCCCCAATCAAACCCTATAAAAAAATAGTTTACTAAGAAGCTTAAATCCTTAATAGTGTATCCCACTCCTCTATGTTGCTGAGATCAATCCTCTGATTTCAGCTGCTCCATCAAGCGATCCAGCTCAGCAGGAGAGGAGGGATGGAAACCAATTAAAGCAAAACGAGCTCAGCAGGAGAGAGGGATGGGAACCAATTAAAGCAAAACGATTATCAATCTTGTTTTTTTTTTTTTTTTTAAACTTCCCCAATCAAACCCTATAAATGATTATTCCAAAGATTGTCCTATTTACACCCACTCCAAACAAATTCACTTCGTAAAGATCAGAAACGATATGAAGGTGTTTTCGTCTTCGTAGATATCGTGGATATGGAGAATGCTAAGGAAAAATTAAAAGTGCCTTAACTTCTTTGATCTTATCACTCACATACTGAGATGGCTAGATATCCACCGCTCAAATTTCCAGGGATCCAGCTCAGCAATGTACAGGAACCGGATCCCTTGTTTCTATCAATTTTAGTAATTTATTTTTTTTCTCTGTGGACACACCCCACTCTCTTGTTTAAGGTCGGCGGCAAATATTTTTCGGTAAAATGGCCTTTGCGTGCTTGTGCTTGCTCAAATAGCTCCAATAAATATGTGTTTTTTGCATTTCTTGCACTCATCTAATTGACTTTCAAGGAGTTTGCTTGCTCTGCTAGCCCCAACAAATTAATGCCTAAATCATCTAGAAAATCAGTTGGTTTCATATTGTTCTTAGTTGTCAAACGGATGATCCATTCCAAACAATCCTGTAAGTCTCATCGTCCTTCTCAATTACCTGTTATCTTCAATATTTGATATGCTGAATTTTTATCATTTTTCTTTTAATCAGGAACAATGGTTGTAGTATTTTGATTTCGATTGAAATTGGGTTTAGGTTTTGAATAGAATCAATAGAAAAGGTTGGCAGATGGCTACTTGTAATGAATTTCATCAGCTGATTCCTGATGATGTGATTATTGACATCCTCTTAAGGCTGCCCGTGAAATCACTGATTCGGGCCAGAGCCGTATGCAAAAACTGGTACACTATCATCAAAAACACAAGTTTTGTTGCCAAGCACTTCAACCGCCACACCAACAGTGGCCGACTTTTTGTCCACCGTCATGACAAAATTTCCGAGAAATATGTTTTCTCATTGTACCCTGATCAAACACTTGCCGGTTCTTCCCCGGTGTATCAAGATTTGGTGGTGGATATGCCAGACAAACTTTGGGTTGGTGCCTGTAACGGCATACTATGTTTGTCCTATCATTCTCGACGTTTTGCTCTATGGAATCCCGCAACCAGAGAATATAGGTCCCTCCCCGAAGTCCCTCGTAAATTTCCACCCAATGTGACGAGTTTCCAAGAAACTTTTGGATTTGGTTTGGATCCCATTACTAATGATTACAAGCTGGTTCGGATTTGGAACACTGCAGATTTTATTAGAGGCAAAATGCATGGTCCTTATAAGGTTGCTGTGTATACACTATCTACTGATTCCTGGAGACATCTTGATGTTGATTTGCCTTATACTTGGATTGACACCCCTCAGACTAGCACATGCATTAATGGAGTTTATTACTGGAGTGTATCAGAGAATTTCAATCATTATTTGATCCTTTCATTTGACATGAGCAATGAATTGTTTCATGATATTCTGGATATTCCAAGTTCAAAACCTTCAAGTATTGTGCCCTACAATAACTCTCTTGCTCTTATATATATTAAGGAGGACAAGGGTGGAGTTGACATATGGGTGATGAGGGAGGAAGGGGGTTGGACCAAACAATTAACTGTGGAGCTAATCAGATATCCATTTGGATTTTGGAAGAACGGTAAGATTATTACAAAAATTGATGAACGTCGGGTGGTCTTATATGATCCAGAGACTCATGAAATTAAGTATCTTGGTTCCCCGAATTGGGCTAACTGCTTGGTGTACCGGGAGAGCCTAGTCGCAATTGGGGGTGGAGATGGTTTGCTAGCACATAATCAGTTGTCTGACGTGGATCTAATTTTTAACTTTTCTAAAACTGTGTTGAGTTCAAGTTGAAAAACAACCTGTCATTGCTGATTAGGATTTTGAAATTTCTGGTTTATATCCATCTCTTGTGATTCACGCATGTGTTTTGGTGAAAAAGGGGGAAACTGGATGCTATTTTATCATTTTCTTTATTGATAATATTATAGTCGCACCTAAAAAGATTATAGTTGCATCTAAAATGATGGTACAACATTTGTGTCCTGATCAATGTTGTGGAGGTGATCTATTTGGTCTATGAGAGGTTGAAATGGAGCTTTGATTTATTTATGACAGGGTAAAAGCAAAAGTGGAAGGCAAAAAAAAAAAAAAAAAAAAAAAAATTTACTACCCAGGATAAATAACGATGCAACTCCAGTAAATCAATCCTATTCCCTTGCAGTAAACATTAGAATGGAAAACATCTTATTTCCATGAAGTCAAGATTGTGTTACTTATGACGTTGAATTCAATTCAATTGAAATGTATTGTAATAAAGGAAGTAGGCTGTATGGAGGCAGAAAAAGCAAGACATCTTATTGCTTTATCCAACCAACCGTTAAATAACATCAGGTTCAAAACTTTGTTGTAAGTTAACATAGTGGTTTTAACCTCCATTATTGGAGGAAGTTTCATTGTGACTATTAGTTTCCCCTACGGAGTTGATAAACATCTTTCCTCTAAACAGATACTACTTCTTTTTATTTTTTTTTCCTAGTTGGTAAGTCCCACACTTGTCTCGTCTGATATTTGAATCCCTGATTCTTTCTAAGAAATAAAAGGCTGATATCGCTAGATCACTGAGCCATTAATCAAATTCCACTTCAAGTCATCAATGGTTATAATTGTTTCACTTTGACAATTCAGAATGACTACGACACTCATAACAAAATAAGAATTGCATTAAAAAAGCAGCGAAACTAAATTTTAAGTTGTTAATGCTTCATTCCACTTGAAAAAACTCATATTGAAGAAGTTTTAGCATTCAACTTATTATATTATTGGTTCTGAAGTCAGGGATAATCGATGCCAGGATGACTTATCACCACTTGAACCATCCCTCAATATGCTTCCAATATTGATCAAATTAGCCCATGAGAGCTCAACTGAATATGCACATCAATTAATAGGACTTACAGACACACTCATCTCTGGTGAGACACTTAATGAGCTTATTCACAATAAGAAGAACTCAATAGTTGGCATTTTTGTCTTCCTATTTTAGCTGGTATTAAATTTTTGTTCACTCTTCTCCCTTTTTTTTTTCAAACAGATTATAATCACATGTTAACCAAATGCACCTAAATAAATGGAGGCTAAGAATAAGCAAAATAGAAAGAGTGATTTTTCTTTCCTATACTACTATAAATTTTTATCTAATTAAATGGAGGCTAAGAATAAGCAAAATGAGAAATTTTAAAAGTTCGATAAAAATTTACCTTAATAATTATTTAAAACAAATATCATGAACAATAATATCATCTCCACCGATTACATTAAAATTAGATATTTTATCAAATATAATATACTTAAACTAGAATTTTTTTAATTATTTGTTTTTCCCTTAACAGAAACTCACATATCGATTTTAATAAATAAAAAACTGGCATATCCATTTTGTATGACTTGAGATGAACAGTTGCAGAGGGCGGACGTGCTTGCTCTGGTAGCAGGTATTCTTTGCACTGATCTAATTGAGTTTCAGAGAGAGTAGCTCCAAGCCTCCAATAAGTGCGTAGATCTAGAGATTTCAGAGGGAACAAAAGAAAATCAGTTGGGTTTCATCATTCATGGTGTTCTTACTTGTCAACAACGGATGATCCCATTCCAAACAATCCCGTAAGTCTCATCGCCCTTCTTAATTTCCTGTTATCTTCATTATTTGATATGCTCAATTTTTCTCAAAGTCCTTTTTTTAGTTGAAGAAAAATGGTACCAGTAGTATTTTGATTTCAATTGGAAATTGGGTTTTAGGGTTTAGGTTTTCATTAGAAAAGGGGGCTTGCAGATGGCGACTTGTAATGAAATTCCTGAGGATGTGGTTATTGAGATCCTCTTAAGGCTGCCCGTGAAATCACTGATTCGTTACAGAGTGGTTTGCAAGAATTGGTACAGTATCATCAAAAACCCTAGTTTTGTTACTAAGCACTTGAACCACCACCGCGCCAACAGTGGCAGTCTTTTTGTTAAGCGTTTTGACAAAATTACCGACAAATATGTTTTCTCATTGTACCCTGATCAAACACTCGCCGGTTCTCCCCTGTTGTGTGAGGATGTGGTGGTGAATATGTCCAACAATCTTCAGATTAGTGCTTGTAACGGCATACTGTGTCTACACAATTGCATTCATCACCACCGCTGCTTTGCTCTTTGGAATCCCGCAACCAGAGAATTTAGGTCCGTCCCAGTACTCCCTCGAAACTTTCCACCCAATGTGGTGAATAACCTAGAAGCATTTGGATTTGGTTTCGATCCCATTACTAATGATTACAAGCTGGTTTGGATGTGGAACACACTGGAATTTATTAGAGAAACAAGGTATGGTCCTTATAAGGCTGCTGTGTATACCCTATCTACTGATTCCTGGAGATATCTTGATGTTGCTTTGCCTTATTCTACCATTCACACCCCTCAGTCTAACACTTTTATTAATGGAGTTTATCACTGGTTTTGTTTAAGAGCCGGAGACCAGCATCGTGTGATCCTTTCATTTGACATGGGCAATGAGTTGTTTCACGAGATTCGTGATATTCCCAGTTCAGACTATGGATACTATGCTGATCTTGCACCCTACGATAACTCTCTTGCTCTGATTTATTCTGAATCTGGTCCATTTGTTGAAATATGGGTGATGATGGAAGAAGGGTGTTGGACAAAACATTTAACAGTTGAACTCCTTTTAAAGCACAAGTCACCTCTTGGCTTTTGGAAGAACGGTCAGCTTATTGTGGAAACTGTTTGTGATGGTCATGTGGGCTTATATGATCCAGAGACTCGTGAAATTACAGATCTTGTTGGATCCCAGTTCTGGGTCGAGTTCTTGATCTACAAGGAGAGTCTAGTCGCAGTCAGGAGCAGAGATGGATTCCTACAACAGAATCAGTTGTCCGATGTAGAGCAAGTTTTAAACTTGGGTTCAATCTGAAATTTAACCTGCCGTTTCAGATTTTGAACTTTCTGGTTTGTATCTCTTCTCTTGTGATTCATGTGTGTGGTTTTTGGTGAAAAAGGGGCAAATTAGATTCCAAACTAAAGAAAGGGTAATATGTCATGCTATTTTATCATTTTGTATATTGGTAATAATGTACTTGCATGTAAAATGATACTAACATTATCAATATTGTGGATGTCTTTGAATTGGAGATAAGAGTAATTTATTTCGTCTCTGTAAATCAATCCCGTCCCATTCCTTTGCAGTAAACATTAGCATTCTACTTATTATTATTATTATTGGTACCCAAGCTGGGGTTTATCACAATGCCAGGAAGACTAGAACCTTTACAATTGCCATTTTAACCTTTACAATTATTTTAATGAGCCAAAATATGCTTTATATATTCATAGATACATATATGCATATAATATAGTACATATTAGATACACATACATACATACGGGTATACACACTGTGATTGACCAACAATTTAATATGATCCCTCTCCCCCTGTAAACATAACCCAAATACATCAGTTGTCTATATGACACAAAGTTGTCAACGCACATATATATAGAGAAAAATCATTGGCAAAGAAATTCATTGGACATTCTGGTATGAATTTTCGTATGCATGTCCCGTCACAAACACTGTTTTGTTTCGTGTAATGTAGCTATGCAACAAATTTTAACAGACTATTACCTGGCAATCTTGAATTCAAATTATAGTTACTTACTTGTCGGTAGGTAAGTATTGTCTTTTATTTAATTTATCGGTACATCTTTTTTCTTTATTAATGGGTAAAATTTTAGTTTTTTATTTTATTTATTATTATTATTATTTTTGTTTTATTTTTTATACAATCTGTTTGAATAATTGAGAGGAAAAATAATAAAAAATGATCTGGAAAAAAACAAAAATTCAAGAGAATTGATTTGTCCATGTGGATGGCTTGGAAGAGAAAAGTCAAAAGTATTGATTGGTTTCATCTCTTTGTTGATTAAAGACTTGATATTGCCTATCTATATTAGGTCTGCAATTAGAGTCACAGCCTCTGAGTCATAATTTAAGTCAAAAGGAGAGTGAATTCAAGTCACATAAAATAAAAGCGAAAACGAATTCAAGAATGAAAATACAAAAGTGAAAATATTAAGTCACAAATAGTAACAATGGGAGCAAAACCATTGATTGGTTTCATCTCTTTGTTGATTAAAGACTTGATATTGCCTATCTATATTAGGTCCGCAATTAGAGTTACAGCCTCTGAGTCATAATTTAAATCACTTTAATGATATTACAAGTCTTAATTTAAGTCACATAAAGTGAGAGTGAGAGGAGAACGAATTCAAATCACATAAAGTAGGAGTAAAATGAATTCAAGAACGAAAGTATGAAAACAAAAATATTAAGTCATAAATAGTGACAATGGGAGCAAAAGCGCGCATGGAACGCATGAGAACGACACTTATTGAAGAAAATTGTGTGACTTAATTTATAGAGAATTGTGTGACTTAATTTATAATCGTCACTTTCTAAAGTTGTACGCAAAGACTTTAACACACTGGCTTAACACTAGAGTTGCATCCAAAGACTCATTTAATTAAAATAAAATAATAAAAAAGGAAATAAAAGATATATTTTTTTTAAACATTTTAAGAGTTTGATTTGAAAAGTAGGAAAACAAGATTTTTGTTTAATATTCTTGAAAAAATTATGTGAACTTATAATTATTTTATTATTATTATTATTATTTTATCTCTCTCAATATAATGTATTTTTTTTTAATGGGCCATTGCAACTCTTATTTTTATTATTACTTTTGACAATGGTCAATAATTAGTTGGGGAGGGGAGAATCAAAACTAGGATTGGTAGGGTGGGGGACACTTTTAACCTGGCCGTTTTACAACTTTGAAATGGACTTTAATGTAAACTTGTTTAGTTCTTTTGTTAGCCTGGCCGAATTTTACTATCATTATTTATTTATGACCCATTTCAAAAAATGTAGGAGTACATATTTTACATATCTAAACAAATTGCTTGAATTTCTAATAATAATAATAATAATAAATTAAAATATTTTCTTGTAATTCTCATGCTGTCCAAATCATAAAATAGTATTGTTTTATTTTTTATTTTTTGAACTTTCACTTTCACTTTCTTCAACAACCACAGTCCAAGTTGGTATTTGTTTTCGAATAGTGAAGCTATCCATCAAACAAAATAATGTTCAAAACAAAAAGAAAAACTTTTAAAATGTAAAGAAAGTTGATGATTTAGTTGGATTTTTTATGCCAACTGAAGACAACAACGTCCCTCATTACTTAGTCTTTATATACACCTGATACTTTAATTCAAATATATATATATATTGAACTTAATGACTGTCCTAACAAATAGGATAATGGTTATAATATGAAGCTTATTATTTATTTGAATAATAAAATTTATAAAAGATTAACATTTTACGGTCATATTGTACAAAATAATATTTATATGTTCAGCGTTTATCTCTCACATAATTTTAAATTATTTCAATATCAATTATAAAACTTTCAATAAAAAAATGAAATAAACGGAAAATAAGTTTGTAAAATAAAACTATATTTCTATATATGATGTCAATATTAAAAAGAATTTATAAACTTATAATTGAAAATTCAAACTACAAATTTCTTTCGATTTCAAAAATAAATAAATAAAATAAAAAACTAATGTTATGTTCAGTTAAATGAATTTGGATTATTTCATGATTTAAAATTATTATTATTATTTTTTTAATTTTAATTACAAGGTACCAATTTCATTCAATCAAACATAGTGAAAGAATATATGTATATTATTCAATTTTTTGACAATTGCCCAAATAATGGAAATCTTTTTTAATGCCCCAAAATAATTGGCCCTGACCATTGAAAGAATGGCCGTTTTCCTTAATATATAATAGAAAAATAAAAAATATATGATACTATGATTCAACATTTTTTTTTTTTTTTAATATATCACTTGTAATTGAAAAAAAAAAAAAAAAATTCAATACCCTAGGTACCTACTTTGTTAAGTATGGTGAAATATTTCCGAGATGTTAATAAACAAGACGTACTTTTATTTATAAACAATATCTTTCATTTTGTCCAAGAAGATCCGAAATATGTCTTGTTGGGTAGAATGCCTTCCGATGTGGGGTATTAACCCACCCTTAATACTGAAATTGTTTAATTTAATTTTAGTTAATTAACAATGTTTCTTTAGACAATTGACTGATTAAAGTATAAAAAATCCTATTTGGATAATTAATAAAAAAAATTACCAATTTATTTCTAAACAATTCACCACTCGGTACCCTCTCTCTTCTTTTGACCAATTTACTAATCGTATTTGAGAATCTACTAGTGGAAGCAGAGTGTGAGGTAGTTCATGGCAAGCCCATTCCAACACTATGGAATTCACTCAAAAGCATGCTTTTTGTAAGTACTTTAATTTTCAAGAAGTAACGTTAGAGCTTTACCCTATATTAAGTACTTTTGCTCGTCAAAGTTCTTGTTATATAAAAATAAAAAATAATAAAAATTGAACCAAAATGTAGCAAAACACAAGGTGCTATGCATGACATAATACACCTTTATTTTATATTTATAACATGAAAGTGAAGATTTAAAAATTCAAGTGAGTTATTCGAAGGGGGATAAAATAACTTGTAATATTGCACTATATAAATAACTTTGCATGAGAGTGAGTTATTTGTGTACAGAATTCTTGGAATGAATCTGAAAACACCAACTGATAATATTTTTTTTCTCTTTCAATCTCATACAACCCAGGGGTAACGGAAGGACAATTTTCCCACCCCTTCAACCCAGGTGTGAAAGTCAATATCTCTGCGTGAGAAACGGAAGGACCATTTTCCGACCCCTAAAAAAAAAAAAATAATAATAATAATAATAAAAATAAAAATAAAATTGTATTTAGTTCACCAAAACACATACATTACTCTTTAAAATGACAATATAGCAGTCATTACTTTTTAGTTCTGCATCTAGTTTCCTCTATTTCACCAAAACACTGACATGAATCATAAGAGAGCTGGAGATATAAACCATAAATTTCAAAATCCTCTTCAGGTGGGATGGCAGGTTGCTTTTCAGCTTGATCTGAACTCCATTTTGGAGAAGTTTAAAATAATTTGATCTACATCAGACGACTGATCCTGTTCTAGGAACCCATCTCCACCCTTGATTGCGACTAGGCTCTCCCGGTAGACAAAGCAATCAGCCCAAATCGGAGATCCAATATGCTTAATTTCACGAGTCTCTGGATCATATAAGGCCACATGACGATCACCATCTGTTTCCATAACAAAAAGCTGACCGTTCTACCAAAACCCAAGTGGCAATCTGCGTTGTGAAATGAGTTGAACAGTTAATTGTTTTGTCCAACCCCGTTCCTCCATCGTCACCCATATGTCACCAGAATGAGAATAAATCAGAGCAATAGAGTTAATGTATCCATCATTTGAACTGGGAATATCGCGTATCTCATGAAACAACTCATTGCCCATGTCAAATGAAAGGATCAGACGAGAATCGTCATTGTCTATTGCAAACCAGTAATAAACTCCATTAATGCATGTGTTAGACTGAGGGTTACGAATGCTAGCATAATGCAAAGCAACTTCAAGATATCTCCAGGAATCAGTAGACAGGGTGTACACAGCAGCCTGATAAGGACCATAGCTTATTTGGTGAAGACCACCAACATCCTCCTTAGTGTTCCAAATCCAAACCACCTTGTAATCATTAGTAATGGGATTAAAACCAAAACCGAAAGTTTCTCGGAAACTCGCCACATTGGGTGGAAAGTTACGAGGGAGAGCGGGGAGGGACCTAAATTCTCTTGTTGCGGGATTCCACAAAGCAAAGCGTTGCAAGTGATAGGAAATACACAGTATGCCATTACAGGCACTAACCCAAATTAAGATAGTTGGGCAGATCCACCACCACATCCTGATACTCCGGCGGAGAACCGGCCAGTGTTTGATCAGGGAACAATGAGAAAACATATTTTTGGATATTTTGTCAAAACGGTTAACAAAAAGACGGCCACTGTTGGCGGGGTGGTTGAAGTGCTTAGTAACAAAACTAGGGTTTTTGGTGATAGTGTACCAATTTTTGCATACGACTCTGGCCCGAATCACAGATTTCACGGGCAGCCTTAAGAGTATCTCAATAATCACGTCCTCAGGAAGCAGCTGATGAATTTCATTACAACTGGCCATTTGCTTAAACCTAAACCCAATTTCAATTGAAATCAAAATACTACTATTTTTCTTGAATTAAGGAAGGAAAAAAAAAAAAAAAAAAAACAGAGAGAGAAATTCACCATATCAAATATTCAAGATAAAGAGGAAATTAAGAAGTTGGATGAGACTCACAGAATCGTCTTTGGAATGGAATGAATCATCCGTTGGAAACTAAGAACAGCATGAAACCGAGGAGTTTCTTAGTTTTGCCCATTGAAATCACTAGATCTAGGCACGCTACCGGAGCAAACAATCTCTCTGAAACTCGATACTGAGTGCAAGAAACGCAATCTTTAGGTCGGTACCAGAGCAGATACAGCAGTCTCTCTCTTTTGCGCGCTCTCTCCGTGTAAGAAAAGCAGCGATTCTACGTAAAAATGTTTTGCCACCTACCGTAAACAAAAGACAGGCGTCACAAAACGGGGTGGTGAAGTGGGGAATGGTGGTAACATTATTATTATTATTATTTATCATATTTGTCTAAATTAATTACTCCCTATTAGTTAATTAATGTTATATTTTTATTTAACTTTTAAATTTATCGTTTTGTTTTCTTTTGGTTAGACAAAAATTAACAATAAAAAGGTGAAAGTTAAAGTGAAGTGAAGAATACGAGTATCAATTGTTTAGATACATTTAATTAGAATGAATGAATTTTATTTTTTTGACATTTTTTTTTGTTGGAAAGTATTATTTTTTTCATAGGAAGGTACTACTTTATGGCTTGGACAATGTTAAATTTACAAGAAAATATTTTAGTTTACCTAAATTGCTTATATATATATATATATTAAATAAGATAATAGATCTAAAAAAATACTCTAAGTATTTTTGGTCTCTTTTTTAAAATTAAAGTAACATAAGAATTTAAATAAATTATATTGTAGGATATTTATAGAGAACATAATATTATATTATTTTTATCAAAAAAATTCAAAAAAACATTTTATTTAGAACCTAGAAGGATAAAAATGACATGCAAAAATTAACAGTAAAAAGGTGAACGTTAAAGTGAAGTGAAGAGTAGGAACATCAATTGTTTAGATACATTTAATTAGAATGAATGTATTTTATATTTTTTGACATTTTTTCCGTAGGAAAGTATTATTTTTTTCATAGGAAGGTACTTTATGGTTTGGACAATATTTTAGTTTACCTAAATTGTTTATATATTAAATAAGATACAATAGATCTAAAAAAAAATACTCTTGGTCTCTTTTTTAAAATTAAAGTAACATAAGAATTTAAATAAATTATATTGTAGGACATATAGAGAGAACATAATATTATATTATTCTTTATCAAAAAAAATTCAAAAACACATTTTATTTAGAACCTAGAAGGATAAAAATGACATAATTATAAGTTTACATATTTTGTGGGGTTAAATGCCAAAAAAAAAAAAAAAAAACCTGATATATAAAGTTTGTGCAAAAATAGTTCCTACTTTTTAAAAATGTGCATTTCAGTCCATAAAATTCAAAAAATGTGCAAATAATTCCCCGGTCCTCTAATCACTTTTTGGTCAAAATTTACATAAAATAAATTCAAAAATCCTATTTTACCCTTGGGTAAAGTCTGTCGATATGGTGCAAAGTAGTCTTTGTGTGGTCAAGGGCGGAGTCAGGATTGAATTTTAGGGAGGCCATAATGTATTTGACGAAAAACAAAAAAATCCAACTAACATCAGAAATTAATTTTATTTTATTTTATTTTATTTTATTTTATTTATTTTTTTTTTTTTTAAGGGAAACAAAAAAATCATCAATGCCAATTTTGATTTGTTGAACTGAAAAGGACAGTTAAAATACTTGGCAAATATAAATTTTGATAATATTTCCATTGAATATCAAAATAAACAAACAGTTGCAAATTATAGTATAAAATAGTTAGTACAGATCAAATCACTGAATATTTTGATAGGTAAAACGATTGAATCTCCCTCAATATATCATTAAATGTTTTTTTTGAGGGGGGCATATTTGAACTTTAAAAAAAAAATACAAATAATAATACTAATATTTGTTTTTTCAGGGGGGCACAGGGTCCCTCTACCCAATATGTGATATAAAACCTCTCTATACTATCAATTTTGTGCAATTACCCCTGTTTGCATAAAAAGACATTAATACTCTCTCTAATATAAATGAAATAATATTAAAAAAATTAGGCAATGTAAAATATTTAACCTAAACAAATATAGAATATTACCACTACTAATTTTCATCTAACCAGACCAAGCCTAAAAATTTCAAAAATTCCGATTAATTTAAAACCAATAACTTTTATTTTTGAATATTTTTTCTCATAAATTTTATACTAATAGTTACAAATTAAATATTATCCAATTAAGATCATTAACCTTAAAACAAATATATTTAAGATATTCAATAAGTAATGACAAAACTGTAAAAAATTAATTACTAATGAATTATGAACTAAATTAAAGATATATTAAAAAAATAGAACTTTAATCCTCTTTATTATTACATTAAAGTGGATTTTTTTTTTTTTTTTTTTACCCACTGTAAAGTTAAACTAACTGATAATTTTTCAACAAATAATGCATTTGGTTTATATAGTAACTATGATAAATTTCAAGGATGACCACTTTTTTTGTTTTTGGAAATTACAATCACTGTAATTTAAGAGATGCATGCATTTGCTCACTTTATGTTTTCAGGAGGCCCAAAAGGATGTTGTGGGTCCTACTTTCTTCAACTCGAGGGTCATGAAACTACTTTTTCCGTACAAACACTCATCGGCCTTATCTAATATAATATGAATTCTTTTAAGAGGAAATTATGGTATTGTATATATATATATATAATTTTCAAATGAGGATAAAATGTCATTTTTTTTTTTTAACGTTAATTTTGACCAAAAAGTGGCTAGAGGGGCTTATTTGTACATTTTTTGAATTTTATGGACTGAAATGCACATTTTCAAAAGTAGGAACTATTTTTGCATAAACCCTATATATCAAAGTTTTTTTTTGCACTTAACACAGAAATTTATATTAAAAAGGGTATTAATGTCTTTTTATGCAAATGGGATAATTGCATCAAATTGATAATATAGGGATATTTTATATTACACATGGACTATTTTGCTCTATATCCACGGTAAATGAAAATTTTTTGCACTTAACCTATTTTGTGCGGAAAGATAAGAGGTATTAAATATTTCGTGGAGTGAAGACTACGAGGCATACAGGGGTGGTGTATTAAGTAGACTCAACCAGGTGTGTTTTTTATTTTATCTTTAAAGCAGTCCTATTTACAGTTATATGTTTTTTTTAAAAGTAACTCATTTCATCTTCCAATTAAATTTGACGAGGTTTGGCAGGGCACCAGCCGGGTGCTTGGTGATACGATTTAAAATTTAACATAATTCGGTGGGACTGATACTTAATTTATTTATAGTAATTTTATTTATCAATTGGTCATACCATTTTCTAAATATAACAACTCTTTGATATTTAATAAACTAATTCAATAACAACTCTTGAATCATGATACTTCCTAATATACTAGGACATTAGGACATTATTGTGATATCATTTTCTCAATATAAGAATTTGTATTTAGCTGGTGATTTAGAACTTTTTAATAATTTATGGAATAGAATTATCCTTATACTTTCAACTTTGAAGAGTGGTTTTAGTTGATGAAATAATTTTAGTTGGTCCATAGAGGAGTGTATATATATATTTTTATTATTTTTGCTCTAACACCACCACTGTTTATTAGTGCCTGTAGACACAGAGAGATTGACTTTCGGAGGGTCTACTAGTGCTTGCTCTGGTAGCTCCAATAAGTGCTTATCTCTGCGTTTCTTGCACTGATCTAATTGAGTTTCAGAAAGACTGCTTGCTTTGCCTCTGGTAGCCCCACAAGAGCCTAGATCTTGAGATTTCAAAGGAAAAAAACCAAGAAAATCAGTTCGTTTCATGGTGTTCTCTTAGTTCCCAACGGATGATCGATTCCAAAGAATCCTGTAAGTTTCTTAATTTCCTGTTTATCTTGAATACTATTTGCTTTGGTGATTTTTTCTCTTTTTATTCAAGAAAAATGGTAGTATTTTGATTCCAATTGAAATTGGGTTTAGGTTTTCAATCGAATCAGTAGGAAAGGAGGGGCAAACGGCGAGTTGTAATGAAATTCATCAGCTGCTTCCTGAGGATGTGATTATTGAGATCCTCTCATGGCTGCCCGTGAAATCTGTGATTTGGGCCAGAGCCGTATGTAAAAATTGGAACACTATCACCAAAAACCCTAGTTTTATTACTAAGCACTTCAATCATCACACCAACAACAGTGGACGAAATTTCCAGCAGATTTGTTTTGTCATTGTTCCCTGATGAAACACTCGTCGGTTCTCCCCAAGTGTATGAGGATGGGGTGGTGGATATGATCTACCTGTAGAGTTTGCTGCCAGTCCCTATAACGGCAGACTGTGTCTGTCCAATCGTTCCCAACGCCTTGCTATATGGAATCCGGCAACTAGAGAATTTAGGTCCCTCCCGGAACTCCCTCGTCGTAACCTTCCACCCTATGTGCCGGTGAGTCGCCGAAAAGCTTTTGGATTTGGTTTGGATCCCATTACTAATGATTACAAGGTGGTTTGTATTTGGTTCAATGTGGATTATATTAATACAGCAAAGTACGAACCTGAAGAAACAGGGTATGGTCCTTGTCAGGTTGCCGTGTATACCCTATCTACTGATTCGTGGAGATGTCTTGATGTTGCTTTGCTATACACTTGGATTGAAGACCCTGTCTCTAACACATCCAGTGCAATAGACAATGACGGCAATGAGTTGTTTAGCGAGATACGTGATACTCCTACTCCTAGTGCAAAACATGGATACCATGCAATTCTTGCACCCTACAATAACTCTCTTGCTCTTATTTATTATGATTCTGATCAATTTGTTGACGTATGGGTGAGGATGGAGGAGGGGGTTGGACAAA